GAGTTAGTCAGTAGTTGATAAGTCAGTCAGTTAGTCAGTTGGTGAGTTAGTAAGTTAGTTGGTGAGTTAGTGAGCAAGTTTGCGATGGGTCTGTTAGTGGGTCATTCAGTCGTCAAGTAATTCAGTTAAATGATCAGTTAGTTGAGCTCAAACTTAGTTAGCTATTGTGTCCGTAAGTTAAGTTAGACAATCCGTTAAGATTAGTAAGTTCGTGGCTAGACAGCTTCATTAGGCATAAAGTTGGTTATTTAGTTCAGGATTTCATTGGTTTAGAAATGTGAGGTTATAGTGTATCGTTTGTCGGGTAGTTAATTAGTTTAGTTACAAGGGAGATTGGTCAGTTAGTTCAGTTAACTGTGAGAATGTTTAGTTAATTCATTAAGTAACATCTGATGTTAGTGTTTAGCTATTAGGTTAATTCAGTTACTGTGACATTGGTTTCGTTGGTTAGCAAGGGTCAAACTACATCCCAAGGACGGGCACAAAGTACAACTCCTCGAATGATAAATAGCTTATTAAAATAAATCCCAAAATTCTATAAAGAGGAGCCAGCTTTTTTTCATTGGTTGGTTGGTTAGTTAGTTTATTTACCTGTGAGGTGAGTTTTGTTACGCGTGACAATAGTTATGTAGTAGTTGGTTTAGTTACCCGAGAGGTTAGTGACATTGTGGGGGGGCGGAGCTACTGCAGTTCTTACCGGTTGGGGGGTGGGGCAGTGAGGTGAGATGGATCTGCTGATTGGTCAGACTGGGGAAGTTGAGGGTGACTGAGGCCAAGCCTACAGACAGGAAGAACATGTTTTACTTCAAAATAAGAGGATGTTGAAGCAGGGTGGAAACAGAGTGACAGTGAGCGGTCAGTACCTGGTGTAGGAGACGTCTGTAGAACCGTCGGCCCAGTCATTATCGGGCTCAGGGTCAGGACCGGCTGCCCTGGCAATGTGGCGCTGACAAGGGATAGAACATCAGCCGGAACCAGAGCCTGAAAAGAAGGCAACTCTAGAAAAACAAAAGAAGACATGAAAGAAATCAACACAAAGACAACAGTAAGGGGTGGTGATGGCGCAATGGATACGATGCCTGCCTTTGGTGTGAGAGACCCGGGTTCAACCCCCTACTGTGACCCATCCACCATTGTGTCCCTGAGCAAGACACTTAACCCCTTGTTGCTCCAGAGGCGTGCGACCTCTAACTATAAGTCGCTTTGGATAAGAGCGTCAGCTAAATGAATAAATGTAAGTTGGTTAAGCTTGATTTTTACTCCTACGTGTGTTGCTACGCACGTTTTGTACTTGTGCACTGGTGTCTCCATCATTCTGCAGTTACAAACGCTAGATGGCGGTGGCGCTACAGCGTCCACTGTGTTGACTGTTGCCAGCCGAGCAGGCTAACTTCTGGTTTAGCGCTCCGCTAACGTGAATGGCAATAAAATTGTGAATGTGCGGCTTGTGTAGCCTTTTCAAATGTTCTCGACCGAATGGATCACAGTGTGATGGTGAAACGAGTCCTTTCACTCCAGTTGTGATGCTCAAATATATCGATCCTCCGTGTTCCAGCCGCAGGATTGGCCAGTAAAATTTACTCCTAAGCACTTCCTGTCGGCTCAGAGGCATTGCGAGGCTAGCCAGCCGACCAATCACAGAGCTTAAGGCAGAGGCTACGCCGTCGATTCGATGCAGAAGTATAAATTATACATTAGTGGGTCAGTTAGTCAGAGAGTTAATTAGTAAATGTTCTGTATTTGTACAGCGCCTTTCTGGTCTTTGCACTCACTCAAAGCGCTGTTACACTCCATCGCATTCACCATTCAGACACCAGTGGAACAACCTCCAGGGGCAATTCAAAGTTAGTTAGTTGGTCAGTTAGCGTCATGTGTTGTCAAGACCTGTTGTCACCAGATCAATAATCAATCACTACATCTCCAGTTCAGTTCTCCTCCAGACTTACCCTCGCTGTGAGTCTTTGTGAGCAGGGGCGACAGCGGAGCTGGATTCTTACTGCGGGACAGGATGTTGGGGATAGTCCTCGGCCTGTCCCTCCCCGCTAATGCATTGGGGGATGCACCGGGAGGAGTCACCTGCAAGACCTTCTGACTGTTGTTCTGAGGCTGCTGGACCGGTGTTTGGTAAGGTGTGGCTGAAGGTGTGCTGGTGGGCGGGGCAGAAACAAGAGTGGGAGGAGCTTGTGGAGTTTGCTGCGGCAGGTCGGAGGATATGATTACAATGTCATCATCGATCGTGTCTCCTGCCGGCACGTGATTGGCTGCACGGTGTCTCTCCCGCTTCCCCACCTTCTTCTGTTTGGATGCCGGGTGCTGCAGCGTCCTCATGATCCTCCGTTCACTTTTACCTGCAGACACAAACAGCTCGGGTTAAATCTCACCTGGGTTTTAGCTGACGTGAGACTCCTACAGCTTCATCCTCCTCCTCCTCCTCACCTGATCTTCGGGCGATCTCTCTGATGTAGGCGTTCCTCTGCTGGTTCAGACAGATCTTCAGACTCTTCAGTCTCGCCGCCTCGTTCTGCAGAGTCTGGATCTCCTTGTGAGCCTGAAACACAAAGACAGCTTACCAAACCGGCTCACTGAGCGCGAGTTAAAGGCCTGAACAATCATTTTCAGTAGCCAATAGAAGAGCGAGCCTCCACGCTGCAGCTGAGACAGGAGGGGAGGGGCTCAGTGAGCGGAGAGCAGATTTCACCAGGTGACCGTAACTCTGCCCGTTACTGGAAGTAAGTGGAGCTGTTTCCAGTGAGACACTGATTTCATATTATTACTTTGCTGCTGTAAAACAGAATATTAAATTTGATTACTGTTTGTGCACTGTGAATTTATTCTTCTTTAAATAACATATTTTTAAAAGGCATTTAGTAATGAAAAACCAATCAGAGTACAGACAGAGATCTGTAGCAGATGTTTGCTTCGGTATATTGGTGCATAAATAAGAATTATATAAGATAAAAGCAAATAAAAAGAAAGTACTAAAACACAACAATGTAAGGTCTATTTAGATTAATGATAATAAACAGTCCCCTTTCATACTGCTATTGTTGTTTATTTTTGTGTCAAAGTGCTTCTACCTTACACAAGCCTGCCCATCACGAGCCAGATGTCTCTTTATTTAACGTTTCAACATTACTCAGACTGTAATGACAGAATAACACCGGTACGAACATTTAAACTGTCTCACAGCTGCAGATCTGTACTCTCAAGTTGTTGCCCGCGGGCCGGCTCGTTAGCTTCCCCCGCTGCATTTGCGGAGCTTCTGAACACTGAAAACTTTCAAGCACATTCTCGATTCGCCAACAATTTCCCTAAAACTGCCGATATTTAAAATCTACACAGTTGATTTCTCGCTTCCAAACTTGTTAGAAGTGGATTTAGTGATGAAACAGCATTTGAAAATTGTAAAAAAAGTTCTGTTGTTGTTACAGTTCTAGCGCTTTACATAATGGGCCACAGTACGCGAGGTAGACTGGTCCAAGGCATACTGGAGATTTTTCCCGAATCAGTACGCCATCCGAGCATTTTTGCCATACTGCAGATTTTGCTTTTGTTTGCATACTACATATGGGCCAAATCAGTACGTACTAATAGTATAGTAGGCGGTTTCAAATACAGCCACTGAGTTATGCTGTGTGCTACAACCAAACAGGAACCTCCAGGTCTGAAAGTGAAGCCTTAAACCTGCGTCCTCTCTAGCAGCCAGCAGGGGGCGACTTGAACCTGCGTCCTCTCTAGCGGCCAGCAGGGGGCGACTCCTGCAGAAAGAAGTGTGATTGTATAGAAGTCTGTGAGAAAATGTTTCTACTTGTCAGCTGATTTATTCCCTCAGTAAACACTTTCCTGATGAGTTTCTGGTCTCAGTCGCTAGTTTCAAGTCTTCTTCAACACAGCATGATGTTCATTTAGTAAATTATGGTCCCATTTAGAGGAACAGAGACCAGGAAGCAGGGGAGGCTTTAGGGCGGGGCTACAAGCTGATTTGGCGACCTGTCAATCAGGACAGAGGCAACTCGTATCCGCTGTTCTTGTACATCTAACTAGTGCCGCTAAAAAGCTTACCAGGAGTCGGCTGCTCATTTTTCAGGAAGTACGTTTTGTTTTAAGCCTGTTTGTCACTAGTTAAAATTAGCATCCCAGCTAACATCCCAGCTAACGTGAATTACAGACGCACCTTGCTACCAAGCTAGCTAGCTCCACCCTCTTGTCCAAATATGGTCACGCCTTGTTTCTAAAAACCAAGATGGCGATGGCCAAAATGGAGGCTTCAAAACGGCGGTCCACAGACCGAAGGGAGACCTCACGGCTTCTTTTGTACCGGCTGTGTCGGCAACTTGAGCCCGTTGTTTCCCTTTAGTCAAATCGTCCATGCATGGATGTATTTGCATCCTGTAGCTTCTTACCTGCTTCAGCAGAACTGTCTTTGGATACTTTTTGGTGTTCATGACTGAACTGAGAAGTTTGAAGGCGGCTGTGACGCTCCGAGGAACGACCACCTTCTTCACACCTGGACTGCTTCTGTTCACAGAAAACAGACAACGTGGCAGTTTATCCTCACCTGTGTCCCCTCACCTCACCTGTGTCCCCTCACCTCACCTGTGTGTCCCCACCTGTGTATCCCCTCACCTCACCTGTGTCCCCCCACACCTCACCTGTGTCCCCTCACCTGTATGTCCTCACCTCACCTGTGTCCCCTCACCTCACCTGTGTCCCCTCACCTGTGTGTCTTACTGAACTCCGTCACCCTGATTTGCTCTTTGACTTAAATATTTATGAGCCATGAGACAGTTTCAAACGCTGGCTTTAAAACTTTCTCATTAAAATCATTAAGAGATAAAAATAATGAACTCAAACTTTAATCTCTTCACTTTTCAAATTATAACAAGAAACAGTGAGAAGAGGTCAAAGGTCAGGGCGAGTACTCTTATCAACACTTAGTTATTACATTCAGAACAGGATCAGTATTAATGTATATTTTCTGAAATAACAAAATGTTTGCACAGCAGCAGGAAAACCTCTAAATAAAATAAATTATCGAGGCGTTTTAATGAGGCTGATCAGCTACAAACTGCTGTCTGTCTGATCAGGTGTTTCTATAAGTGACTGTTACTCTGAATTGAATGATTAGCTGGGAGGCTTCAGACTGGATAAAAGGTAAAGCCCCGACAGCATCGGTTTAACTTTTGATTTGATCACATTGATGTTTAAGTTCAGATTTACAGGAAATATTTTATAGCTGCTGTGTGAAGGGAAAAATCTGTTTAAAGCAAACCATATGTTACTGCACTTTAGTGTATACAGCAGTACACTTAAATTAAAAGTGCCAAAGCACTACTTTAGGATTCATCATTCCATTTTGGGCATAACCATGAGATTAATCGCCATTAAAGATTTTAATCGTTGCCCGGCACCAGTTTAGATGCATCTATATTTTGTGCAATTAAACTGTCGATTAACTGCAACAAACAGCAAAACAAAAATGTACAAAAGCAGGATAAATGTGACGGCAGCTGGAAACTGGATAAAGAAAAAAGGGACATGTTAAAATGTGAAGTGAAATTAAAGTTGCACTTCAGTGCGAGACGGTGACGTTCAAATACAAGTTCCAACAGAGAGATGGTACCGATGTGAGCTAAGTGAAGATCAAACGGTATCTGTGTTTATAACAGCAGATAAATGAAAGGAACAAGGAGACAGATCCTTTTAATCACGTTCTGAGTGTTATCCATGTGTAGTTTGGCCACCAGAGGGCGCTCTGCAGCACAAATCCACCACAAAGCTGACATGATCAGCTGCAACGTTTATTTTTTAACTGAATGACGTCGTGTTAACACACGTTAGAGATACTCTTTGTTTACGATTTTGTGTTTCTGACAAAAAAATAAATAAATAAATAAAGGAGATTATCGGATTTTAAAATCCTCAAATATCAAAATCGGTATCTGTTCAAAAACATCCCTCTTCGTTTTTTAGGTACTGATGAACTGAACATAACGAACAAACAAAATAAAACGGATTTTCAGGCAGCGCCACAGACACAACCATTTCAGTGATGTCATGATGACCTCAGGCTGATCAGACAGGAAGTGAATCAGGTCTTACTCTGGGATGCTCGGCTGCGTCCTCTGAGCCGCCTTCAGCTGACCGCTCTCCTCCTCCACCGTCTCCACGTCAACGCTCAGAACCTCGTCAAGAGCCGCCTGGCACAAATACAAGAGACGCCATGATGACACGTTGGTCTGTGTCCAATCACAGCTCGCTCTTAACATCACATTCATATTTACACACAATCAAAACCTTTTATTTATTATTACTTTTCTCTCATAACGTCAAAAATATTTTTACAATGAAATAAAAATAAACTCCTCGGTTCTAAAATTAAATAGGGAAGAAAAAGTTGAGTTTCTATAATTTCTTAAATTATTGTTTCATTTATATTCTGAATATTTATGTGTTTTTGAAAAGGATCTTTTCGTACGTCAGTGACGGGGAGGACGCCGGTTGTCTTGGTGACGACTCGCTCCTCGTCAGACGAGTTGTCCGTCACTTCGTCCGTCTCGTCCAACAGATCGACCACCTCTATCAAATTGCATCTGTACTTCCTGTCCCGCCTCTCTCTGGCAGCTTGGCGACACGCTCAGGTGATCGCCGGTGTCCGCGGCTCACCTGCCCACCTCGCTCTGAACAAACACAAACAAAAACATGGCAGAGCTGAACCTTGTTTAAAGGTTTTGATGGAGATCAGGATCATTTTTTACATTTATTCATTTAGCTGACGCTTTTATCTAAAGCGACTTACAATTGCTATACATGTCAGAGGTCGCACACCTCTGCAGCAACTAGGGGTTAAGTGTCTTGCTCAGGAACACAATGGTGGACGTCTCACAGTGGGAATAAAACCCAGGTCTCCCACACCAAAGGCAAGCATCTTATTTCAAACAATTTATCAACACAGATTCAAACACTGATCAAAATTACAAAGGCAACACTTTTGTTTTTGTCCCCATTCATCATGAGCTGAACTCAAAGATCTAAGACTTTCTTTGTGTACACAAAAGGCCTATTTCTCTCAAATATTGTTCACAAATCTGCCACAATCTGTGTTAGTGAGCACTTCTCCTTTGCCCAGATAATCCATCCACCTCATAGGTGTGGCATATCAAGATGCTGATCAGACAGCATGGGGATTGCACAGGTGTGCCTTAGGCTGGCCACAACAAAAGGCCCTAGGCTGGCCACAACAAAAGGCCCTAGGCTGGCCACAACAAAAGGCCCTAGGCTGGCCACAATAAGGCTGGCCACAATAAAAGGCCTTAGGGCTGGCCACAAAAAAGGCATTAGGCTGGTCACAATAAAAGGCCACTCCAAAATGTGCGGTTCCATCACACAGCACAACGCCACAGATGTTGCAAGTTTTGAGGGAGCGTGCAGTCGGCACGCTCCCTGAGGCAAATGGTGATACTGACTGGTTCCCGGACCCCCCGGACCCCCCCGGACCCCACCAATACAGTGAAACTGCACATTTTTGAATTTTCTGTTTCTGTGTTTTTGGTTTTTCTGATTTGGTTTTTAAAGAAAATAATGAAAGAACAAACCAAACACGGATTTTAATTCTGGTTTTTGTGGATCTTTTCGTTCACCGCCGCTCCACCTAGAGCAGAACTGTGGTCACGGTCGCTTTAGAGTCACATGAACTTCGATTTGACGTCCAGACTGAGGTCGGATTTCAAACAATCAGACTTGGATCTGATTTGGACCACATATGAAAGTGGCTCAAATCCGAACTGGAACAGATCAGTGTCTGCGTGACCTGTTCACACTGTCAGAAAAAAATCTGATTTGGGTCAGTTTGGTGTGCGGCCTGAATGCAGCCTTAGTTTCTGTCAGGTTAGTGCAAGCTAAGCTAGCTCAGATCTGTGTGGTCCCCTTTTCATTTCTGTAGTCAGTATTTATTTTGGTGTCATGTTTATTCTTCTGCTGATTTATATTATAAGCCTCTGATAAATAGAGCTACCTGCTGATGGAGCGATGGTGGTGAGGAAGTCGTCTCTCCTCTTCATCAGCCTCCTCTTCTTCTTCTCTAGATCTGTTTCTGTCTTCCTCAGCTGCTGGATCACCTGCACCGCCTGCAACAAGACAACACCACCAGCTGTCAGCCGGTAACTAGAAACACGGAGTGTAACGCAGTCCAACCTGTAAAAAGAGCAGCAGGTGACTGGTGAAGACGGGAAAAAGAAACTAGACCTGCAAGTTAGGGATGCAGCAAATGTTTGGATGCTGAAATTACAGTCGTTTGCAAAAGTTTAGGTACCCCCGACAATTTCCATGATTTTCATTTATAAATAATTGGATGTTTGGATCAGCAATTCATTTTGATCTCAGAATCAACTTTATTGCCAGGTACGTGTCCACATACGAAGAATTTGACTCTGGATTGAATGCTCACGATGTGCTTAATCATACAACACCACAATAATAAAATATCTCCGACCCAGGCTACAGTGTAGACAACACATATATACACACTATGAACAAAATAGACAGATTGAGATAACAGTGCAGTGAGCAGAGTGCAAAGGATGCAGGACATTATTATTTACATGTCAGAGGTGGAGGTGATATACAGGTACACATAAATGTACACAGTGTGATGGAGCACAGTGCAAAGGATGTATCTACAGTATGACCGTATGAACAGCTCTGAAATAGAGAATGGTGAGAATTGCTTGCACCAATCCCAATTGATTGCTGACGTATTGCTGACGTATTGCGGTAAGCGTGTCGACTCATTTCCGTTTCCGGTGTTTGTGTTTTGGTACCGTGTTGTGCTGCTCTCGCTAAATAACAGTTACATTTGTTAGATTACAGCGGCCAACTGTTCGCTAAACACTTATTCTTTACAGTAATTTTGCCTAAGCACTCACAGTTCTTTCCATCTTTTAGTGACTGCTGTTCAATCTCATACTTGTTCTAAAGTTTTGGTAGCTGACGCTACAGTACTTTAGCTTAGCCGTTAGCGACTTTAGCTTAGCAGCTAGCGATGGCTTCTCCTTCTCCCTCTCTCTCTCCTACTTTCTCCTGCTCGGTCTGTCAGATGTTTAGTTACTCCTCTGCCTCCTTTAGCGGTAATGGTACATGTAATAAGTGTAGTTTATTTATAGACATGGAGGCGAGGCTCAGTGATTTAGAAGTCCGGCTCCGCACCTTGGTAGATCAGTCTTTAGCTACTGTAGCTAGCCAGTCCCCGGTAGTCGGTGCGGAACGGCCTGAGTTAGCCTCTGGTAGCCGTCCTCCGGCATCCCCTGTGCAGCCAGGAAAGGGGGGGGCTGGGTGACTGTCCGAAGGAGGAATAGTCGTAAGCTTCAAAGTCCACGGGGCATCATCAACCTGTTCACGTTTCTAACAGATTTTCCCCACTCAGCGACACACCCGCTGAGAAACCAACTCTGATCATTGGCAGCTCCATTTTGAGAAACGTGAATTTAGCGAAGCCAGCGGCCATAGTTAAGTGCATCCCTGGGGCCAGAGCGGGCGACATTGAGTCTTATTTGAAACTGCTGGCTAAGGATAAACGTAAATACAGTAAGATTGTTATTCACGTCGGCGGTAATGACTCCCGGTTACGCCAATCGGAGGTCACTAAGATTAATGTTGAGTCGGTGTGTACATATGCAAAAACAATGTCGGACACCGTAGTTTTCTCTGGACCCCTGCCAAATCTGACCAGTGATGACATGTATAGCCGCATGTCGTCATTCCGCCGCTGGTTGTCGAGGTGGTGTCCAGCAAACGATGTGGGCTTTGTTGATCATTGGCAGACTTTCTGGGGAAGACCTGGTCTGATCCGGAGAGACGGCATCCATCCCACTTGGGAAGGAGCAGCTCTCATTTCTAGAAATCTGGCCAAGTTTATTAGTGGACCAAATCCATGACAACCCAGAGTTGAGACCAGGAGGCAGAGTCGCAGTTTAACACACTTCTCTGCCCTTCTTTTTCAGCAGTTACCCACCCAAAACCCTACGCAGAGTCGCAGTCTAACACACTTCTCTGCTCCTCCATTTCAGGAGTTACTTAGTGAAAATCCTATAGTGACGGTGTCTGCCCCCCGACCATCGAAATTATTTAAAAAGGTAAACAGAAGAGGAGCTGTGCATAAAAACCTCATAAAAATTAAAACCACAAGAGCAATAGTGCAAACGAATAGGAGAGTTAAATGTGGACTCTTAAACATCAGATCTCTCTCTTCTAAAGGTGTACTAGTAAATGAACTAATATCAGATTATGATATTGATTTGTTTGGTCTTACTGAAACCTGGCTGGGTGATGGAGAATATGTTAGCCTAAATGAATCCACCCCTCCCAGTCATATTAATACTCACATTCCTCGAGGCACAGGCCGAGGAGGTGGAGTTGCAGCTATCTTCCACTCTAGCCTATTAATCAGCTCTAAACCTAAACTAAATTATAACTCATTTGAAAGTCTTGTTCTTAGTCTTTCGCACCCAAGTTGGAAATCACTGCAACCAATTCTTTTGTTATAGTGTACCGAGCACCTGGCCCGTATTCTGAATTCTTATCTGAATTTGCAGAGTTTTTGTCAACTTTAGTCCTTAAAACGGACAAAGTTATTATTGTAGGGGATTTTAATATTCATGTGGATGTTGAGAATGACAGCTTCAGTACTGCGTTTATCTCTTTGTTAGATTCCATCGGCTTCTCTCAGAGTGTTCATGAACCGACTCACTGTTTTAACCACACCCTCGACCTTGTTTTGGTGTATGGTATTGAAATTGAACATTTAGTGGTGTTCCCACAGAATCCCTCTTTATCCGACCACTGTTTGATAACTTTTGAGTTTGTATTGCTGAACTACTCGCCATTGGGCAAAAATTTCTATACAAGATGTCTGTCTGATAGCGCTATAGCTAAATTTAAGGATGCGATTCCATCAGCTCTAAATACATTATCTAGTCACAAAGTAATGGAGGACTCCTATGCTAATTTCAGTCCCTCCCAAATCGATCATCTTGTTGATAGTGCTGCTGGCTCGCTGCGAATGACACTCGACTCTGTAGCCCCTCTAAAAAAGAAAATACTAAAACAAAGACGGTTAGCTCCATGGTATAATACTGAAACTCGCAAATTAAAGCAAATATCACGGAAACTTGAGAGGAATTGGCGTTCCACCAAAGTGGAAAATTCTCGTTTAATTTGGCAAGATAGTCTTAAAACTTATAGGAAGGCCCTCCGTAATGCCAGAGCAGCGTACTACTCGTCATTAATAGAGGAAAATAGGAACAACCCCAGTTTCTTTTCAGCACTGTAGCCAGGCTGACAGAGAGTCACAGCTCTATTGAGCCAAGTATTCCCATAGCTCTCAGTAGTTACGACTTCATGAGCTTCTTTAATGATAAAATTCTAGCTATTAGAGACAAAATTCACCAAGACCTGCCCTCAATTGGCACCAACTTATCTCTTAACTCAGGAACCTTAGAAACAGCTGTAGAACCAGATACATGTTTAGACTGTTTTGCTTCCCTCAATCTTTACCAACTAACTTCAATAATTTCTTCATCTAAACCATCAACCTGCCTCTTAGACCCCATCCCGACTAGGCTGCTTAAAGATGTTTTACCCTTAGTCAGCACCTCTATACTAGATATGATCAATCTATCTTTATCAACAGGCTATGTACCACAGTACTTTAAAGTAGCTGTAATTAAACCTCTTCTGAAAAAGCCCAAACTTGATCCGGATGTTTTATCAAACTATAGACCTATATCTAACCTTCCATTTCTCTCTAAGGTTTGGAGAAAGCAGTTGCTAAACAGCTGTGTGACTTTCTACAGAGCAATAGTTTATTTGAGGATTTTCAGTCAGGATTTAGAGCTCATCATAGCACAGAGACAGCACTGGTGAAAATTACTAATGACCTCCTTATTGCATCAGACAAAGGACTTGTCTCTGTACTGGTTTTATTAGATCTTAGTGCTGCATTTGATACCATTGACCATCAGATCCTATTGCAGAGACTGGAATATTTCATTGGCATTAAAGGAACCGCTCTAAGCTGGTTTAAGTCCTATTTATCAGATCGATTTCAGTTTGTACATGTTAACGATGAGTCCTCCATGCACGCCAAAGTTACTCATGGAGTTCCTCAAGGATCTGTCCTTGGACCAATCCTCTTCACTTTATATATGCTTCCTTTAGGCAATATTATCAGGAAACATTCCATAAGCTTTCATTGTTATGCAGATGATACTCAGTTATATCTATCGATCAAGCCAGATGAAACTCATCAGTTAGCTAAACTTCAAATGTGCCTTCAGGATGTTAAAACCTGGATGAGCTGTAATTTTCTTATGTTAAACTCAGATAAAACTGAAGTTATTGCTCTGGGGCCTAAGCACCTCCGTGACGCATTATCTAAAGATATAGTTTCCCTGGATGGCATCGCCTTGGCCTCCAGCACCACTGTGAGGAATCTTGGAGTTATCTTTGATCAGGACATGTCGTTTAAGTCCCACATTAAGCAAATTTCAAGGACCGCCTTTTTTCACCTACGTAATATTGCGAAAATCAGGAACATCCTGTCTAAAAATGATGCAGAAAAACTAGTCCATGCATTTGTTACTTCTAGGCTGGATTACTGCAATTCCTTATTATCAGGCTGCTCGAAAAAGTCCATTAAGACTCTTCAGCTGATCCAGAATGCTGCAGCACGTGTTCTGACAGGAACCAGGAAAAGAGATCACATTTCTCCTGTTTTAGCTTCTTTGCATTGGCTTCCAGTAAAATCCAGAATAGAATTTAAAATCATTCTTCTTACCTACAAAGCTCTTAATGGTCAGGCACCATCTTATCTTAAAGAGCTCATAGTACCTTACTACCCCACCAGAGCACTGCGCTCCCAGAATGCAGGGTTACTTGTGGTTCCTAGAGTCTCCAAAAGTAGACTAGGAGCCAGAGCGTTCAGCTATCAAGCTCCTCTCCTGTGGAACCAGGTTCCAGTTTGGGTTCAGGAGGCAGACACCATCTCCACATTTAAGAGTAGGCTTAAGACTTTCCTCTTTGATAAAGCTTATAGTTAGGGCTGGCTCAGGTAGTCCTGAACCATCCCTTAGTTATGCTGCTATAGGCCTAGACTGCCGGGGGATTTCCCATGATGCACTGAGCTCCTCTCTCCTCTACTTTCTCTCCCTCTGTATGCAACCTCATCCCATTATTGCATGTTACTAACACAACTTCTCCCCTTTCTGGTAGTCTTGTGCTTTCTCGTCCCTCTCCTCTCTCCTCCTATCACTTCCTGCAGGTTTTCTGGCTCTGGAGCTGTGGAGTCTGGATCTGTGGCTGCGGGTCGCCTGCTGCCCCCGTGTTCCTGCTCGACACCCTCTACTGCAACGACTATTGTTGCTAGTCTTATTGTTATTATTGTTATTATAATCATTAACATTACGATGGTTACCATTAACACTATTATAAATATCTGTACCATTTTTCATTTAGTTTATAGCAACATTACCTTCGCTGTCTGTACCTCTGTGTGTATATTGTGTAGGCTGCCTCCCTCCCCTCTCTCTCTCCTTACATCCCTCTCTCTCTCTCTCTTTTCTCTCTCTTTCTCTCTCTCTCTCTCTCTCTCACCCCAACCGGTCGAGGCAGATGGCCGCCCACCCTGAGCCATGGTTCTGCTCGAGGTTTCTGCCTCTTAAAAGGAAGTTTTTCCTTGCCTCTGTCGCCTAGTGCTTGCTCTTGGTGGGAACTGTTGGGCTTCTGTAAATATCATCACAGAGTACGGTCTAGACCTGCTCTTTTATGAAAAGCGCTGTGAGATAACTGTTGTTGTGATTTGGCGCTATATAAATAAAATTGAATTGAATTGAATTGAATTGAATAAATAATAAGTGGTAACCAGAAGGGCTGACTCCAAATAGTCAAAGATTCGATGCTTCGATGGGCGGAGCCTGATTCGACTGTCAATCTCACAGTCGAAGCATCGCAGCAAAACAAGGATCACGCCATTTTGGCGATATGGGGTGCTCAACGTCTGATTTTACATAGAACTACCAGTTTTCTCCCAATAAGTTAATATACAGCCGGTTACAATACACATTTCAATGTTTAATGCTGTAAATAAACATGTAAAAAGAAAAAAAAACTTCCAATAAATGTTTTTAAAGTGCGTGAATGAATCCAAACTTGTAATCCTAACCCTGCGTCGTCAGCATGTGTAAGCGTAGCCTGAGTGTGTGCAGTGGCAGCAGAGGAACACTTGCTGAAGAGACGGAGCTCCAGCTTCACTGGTGTTGTGCCGAGTTGTCCACACCTTGCTGGACTTTCGGATAATTTATCAAGGTTGATGAACCACACAAAGAACGGCTACTTGACTACTTGAAATAGACCCGCGAGGAACTGCGACGTGCAGGCAGCTGTCGGCAGCACGGCAAAAACTCTGCACAAGACCGGTGAATGGCAGGCGCGTGTGCAAGAGAGAGAGAAAAATACACGATTCGACTATCAGTCGACTACAGGCAGGACATGCTGATTCTGATTCGACTATGTAAATCCTTAGTCGGGGACAGCCCTAGTAACCAGTCAACAGGTGGCTGATTAGAGGCAGAGTTACCGGGTTATAGCACAGGAATTGTTCCTGACACTGAGTCAGATTCAGCTGTTCATCAGAGTGAAGGCTTGTGGGAAGAAACTGTTCCTGAGTCTGTTGGTTTTGGCGTACAGTGCTCTGTAGCGCCTACCAGAGGGGAGGAGCTGGAACAGCTTGTGTCCAGGGTGAGATGGATCTGCAGTGATGTTTCCTGCCCGTTTCCTGACTCTGGAAACGTATCAGTCCTGAATGGAGGGCAAGTTGGCACCGATGATCTTTTCTGCAGTCCTGACTGTCCGTTGTAGTCTGCTCCTGTCCTTTTTGGTGGCAGATCCAAACCAGACAGTGATGGAGGTGCAGAGCAGAGACTGGATGATGCCTGTGTAATCTATCAAATAACTGAAGGACTCAGTAATATTTCAGTAGTGAAATGAGGTTTACTGGATGAACAGAAAATCAAAACGAAAGTAGACAGGTGCATAAATTTGGGCCCCCCACAGAAATATCACATCAATATTTAGCTGAGCCTCCTTTAGCAGAAATGACGGCCTCTCGACGCCTCCTGTGGCCTGTAGTGAGTGTCTAGATTCTGGATTTCCTCCTCGCAAAACATCTCCAGGTCAGTTAGGTTTGATGTTTGCAGAGCGTGGACAGCCTGCCTCAAATCACCCCACAGATTTTCAGTGATATTCAGGTTTGGGGAACATTGTACTTGTTCCTCAAGTAGATTTTCAGCAGTGTTTTGGGTCGTTGTCTTGTTGAAACATCCAGCCGCGGCGTAATTTCAACTTTGTGACTGATTCCTCTATATTATTCTCAAGTATCTGCTGATCTTGAGTGGAATCCATGCGACCCTCAACTTTAACAAGACTCCATGATGGAACCTCCACCAAATGTTACTGTGGGTAGCAAGTGTTTGCCATCTTTGTTTCATCAGTCCACAGCACCTTCTTCCAAAATGAAGCTGGCTTGTCCAAATGTGCGTTTGCAGACCTCAAGCGACTCTGTTTGTGGCGTGCGTGCAGAAAAGGCTTCTTCCGCATCACTCTCCCGTACAGCTCCTCCTTGTGCAAAGTGCGCTGAATTGTTGAATGATGCACAGTGACACCATCTGCAGCCAGATGATGTTGGAGGTCTGTGGTGGAGGTCTGTGGGCTGTTGTTGACCGTTCTCACCATCCTTCACCTTTGCCTCTCTATTTTTACTTGGCCTGCCACTTCTGGCCTTAACAAGAACTGTGCCTGTGGTCTTCCGTTTCCTCACTATGTTCCTCACAGTGGACACACTGACAGCTTGAATCTCTGCGATAGCTTTCTGTAGCCTTCCCCTAAACCATAATGTGTAAAATCTTTGTTTTCAGGTCATTTCACAGTTGTTTTGAGGCCCCCATGTTGTTTCAGAGGAGAGTCAAAGAGAATAACAACTTGCAATTGGCCACCTTAAATACCTTTTCTCACGATTGGATGCACCCGTCTATGACGTTCAAGGCTTAATGAGCTCACCAAACCAACCAGCCTAATGAGTCAAAAGACCGATTAAATTTTACAGTCAAGTTGACATGTCGACAGAGTGGAAGCATTTTAAGGTGTCTGCAGAAGGTGTTCTGCTGAACTGTCTCAAGCACATCCACTGACTGGATGAATTTTGTGCGAGGAGGATGCACATGTGACAACGTCTGGTTTTCAAAATAAGGGGCCTGTACAGGATAGAAATAAAAAGTTAAAAGTAAATGGACTCATGTAATTTACTTTACCGGACCCCTCAGGCCCCGGACCCCCCACCATAGTCTTTCCACATCCTGTGGAAACAGAGGAAAAAGCTCATTTTGACTGTTTCATTTATGCAGTGGGAAAAAAAGGCAAAAGAAATAGAAAAACTCAAGTTCAGTTCAGGGACCGCGTGGATATAAGGTGTATTTTAAATGTGCAACGTGCTGTGTGGGAGTTAGAGGCCAAAACCCGTTCACCTTGATAATAACGCCACCACTTCTGTCTGAGGTGTCTGCAGCAGAGCCGAGAATTTCACTGACATACGTTTCTACTCAGAGAAGCTTAAAGAAGCTGAACTAGTGTTTGAGCGAGTCGGACCTTCGTCAGCGTGGACACCTTAGACGTCCTCTCCTGGCTCAGTCCCACTTCTCTCCTCAGACCTTCGAACAGCTGCCACATCTTCCTTCGACGCTGCTTCTCCAGTGCGTTGTGATTTAAGCGCTGCAGACAAACAACAACAGCAGAAAGTCAGCTCAATATTTTCAGCAAAGCCGAGGAAAGCCACGTTGTGAAAATACCAACAGTAAACCAACCAGTAAAACTTCACTAAAGTAAAAGCACAGAAGCATCTAGATGTAAATGAGTATCACAGGATGTTTGAGACTGGTGGGTGGAGCTCGGAAAGAAATTTAATCTGTGCTCTAGCAAACCATTTCATCAGAAACACGTACAGATGTAAACGCTGATGAGCCAGTGAAATGTTTTTCCAGCAACCCGACGTCAAAGAATAAAGTAGTGTTTGTTTTAATGGACTCCTGTAACCTGTTTAATACTTCCTGTGAAGATAATCCAGTTAATCTTGTTTCCATGCTGTAAATACGCTTCGAAAGTAATTAAGAGTGAATCTGAGCAGGTCCAGAGCAGAACCCGGGAGAGCCGGACGGGGGTCCGGGTAGAGCAGACGGGATGAGCGCTATGTTACTATGAACATTTCACTTTTACCTTTTATTATAGCAACTAAACGCTCTTCTTCTACAATCGGCCTAATTTAATGATTTAACTGTGTTCATCATGTTAATTTCATCTGTAAAATGATCCTCTCAGTTTAAAGAGCTCCCACAGGGCTCAGCTTCATCTTCTTTGGCCTTTGATGGGAGCGTTATGTTCACTGCTGTGAGCGGAGGTCAGGTGCAAAGAAATAAACTTTGAATATCGAATGTCTGCCCACAGATCCGCCCTGGTTTTAATAACACCTTGTTTTGAAAGCCGGACGTTGTCACAAGTCTGGCGCAGCTCGGTTAGTCTCGTATCGTGTAACGTTCAGACTTGAGCAGCTCAGAGCAGCAAAGCACGTCACAGGTCTTTAATGTTCTTATGAGACGAGAAAAAATAAGTTCAGTTCATTTTGAAACTGTATTTAATGTGAAATACTGCAGTAAGTAAAAGTGCTGCGCTGCCGTGTTACTGATCAGATTTTATCAACTTCTGTTTGTAAAATCTTGATTTGAAAAGTAAAATTTCTATGTCTGAGTTGTGGCGGAGTAGAATTAGAAAGACTACAGTAAAAGTACCTCAGAATTATACTTCAGCCCAGTACTAAAACCCGCCGTTGGGGGCGACCCTGAACCCCTCTGCTGGTTTTACTGTGACAGATTTTAAAAGCTTCCTCTTACGTGGACGCTTACGACCTCCCCCGTCTCTTCTCCGCTCTCCGTCTCTTCCGTGAAGTCTGACGAGTTCTCCGTCTCGCTGCTCGAGGACGCCTCCACATCCACCGTGTCCGACGGCCGCTTGGCCCCGCCCTCCGTCTCCGTCGTGGTAAAGAGCCCCGTCTTGTCGTCCACGCAGATGATGTCCAGGTCCACCAGGCCGCAGGCCGGCTCAAGGCTGAACCTGTCAGCAGGGGGGTACGGCGGGGGTCCGGGTGTGGCCCCTGACCCGGACCGTGCTGGAGCAGGAGGGCATGGCGGTCTGTGTGCGGCCCCTGCAGGGGTCTGGATGTTGGTGGTTTGTGGTGAAGCAGGTTTCTCCTGGAATTTAGGAGCCACAGGGGCCGCAGACACCGCCGCCGTTCTGACCCCAAGCTCGGCCCTCGCACCTGCGGAGGTGTTGAGGGAGACGAGGTTCATCGGGGGGGCGGGGGGCTGGAGGACGGTGAAGGCGCCGGCGGCAGTCACCACTTTGATGGGGGGTCGGGGGGGCAGTTTAGGGCAGGTGACGACAATGGGTTCCTTTCTGGAGGCGGCGGGGATGATTTTAAAGGTGCACGTCCCCTTCTGGGCCAGGAAACCAGAGGCGGGCCGGAGCGGGGCCGAGAGGGGGGCCACGGAGAAGGACTGGAGGCCAGACAGGGAGGAGAAGGAGGGGGAGGGGCCGGTGGAGGTTGTCACTGTGGTCAGAGGGCGTGTTTGGTTCCCAACAACAGCGGCGACTGCAGGCTCACGAGGTGCAGCAGGGAGGACCGAGGGGGAGGGGGCACCTGGAGGGGGAGGAGACAGAAAGAGGGGGGAGGAGTCAGTCACTGGTTTACAGCGAATCATGTCGGTGCTTCAGCAGTACTCAGTAAGAGTAGTGACAGCGCCACAATGTACAAATACTCTGATGCAAGTAAAAGTCCTGCATTAGAAAGAATACTTGAGTCAAAGACCAAAGTATTAGTTAATTATTGTACCGACGGGGCCCCAGGGGTCCTTCACCCTGCTCTTCCAGTGCTTTTCTGTTACTGCTCGTCTCTTCGTGCCGCTCGGAAACTGCAGCCGGTGTGCGGCTCGTCCTGCGCTGACGGAGTTCAGCTGAATTCCTGCTCTGGAGTTCATGTTTTAAGTTTTCATCAGAAGGTTTCTACACCTTCCTTGTGGACAGTGACGCCCGTCCGTCAGCTGGTTGGTTTGCCGGGTTGTGTTCAGACCGCGGTGGAAACGCTCACAGTATGTGTCCTCACTAACCGCAGCTTTAACGCCCCCCCCAGTCCTGTACTCACCTCTGGTTCTGAGCTGGCTGATGGGAACCAGTTGGACCAGTTTACCGTCCGGTCTGCGGTAGTACTGAAGGCCTGACGCTGCCTGGACCGGCTGCAGCACCATCCTCTGACCGGTGGAGGGGGGCAGCGGGGGGCCGGGAGCCGGGCCCGGTACGGGAAGCTTCCCGTGAGGGCCCGGGACCTGAACCATCAACAGCTGAGGGCCTTTAGAAGCCGGATTTCCAGGTGGAACCACCGAGCTGCTCACCTGACAGTCTGAAACACACCAGACCAGATGGATCACGGGTTATTTATTAGAGTCTCAACCTGAGGGGCAGGACCCGTCAAGGGGTCACGAGAGACACCCGGCTGAACGAGTCCAGCAGCACGTGTTTCACATAAACTCAGAACGTCTGAAACACAACAATTAAACATGACCGGACAGATTAAATATTTGAAGTCTCTGCAAGATGGTTCTCTCTCACAGAAGTGAAGCAAAATCAATATCTGCGTTCCAAGAAAGGAAATCAAGCTGAAAAGTTATAAACCACAGGAGGATGTTCATCTAGACTAAAGGTTTCCAAACGAAGACACAAATATCTGATCAGATAAATAAAAAGAAGAGTTTCACCAGATGATTACTGAATCTCCTTTTTCGCCATTTCCAGGGAATGCAGTTTGCTTTGCTTGTTGATGATCTGTAATTTAGCCTTTTCTGTTTAAAACAATTATTTTCCTTTTCACATCTCCATGAATGTGTTGATCACTTTAAAATATCACGCTTGCTGCCCAGCCACTATTTTTACCTGCCTCTTTTATTACGGGCATCCTGAATGATTGTGGCAGCAACACGGAGCAGCTCGTTGTTGAAGCACACAGAGGAAGCTGAGCGTCGTGCGTAAACCAGGACTGTTTTATCCGCCCTATTTTCTCTCTGTGCATCTCCAAAATGACTGTTGACTGTGAATAAATAACAGCTGGCAGCTGCTGAGTGAAAGTTAGTTTCACCGGCGACATCCTGTTTACGGACTCACCGTCGGACATCGCTTAAACTGCGCATAACCGGAAAGGTGTTTGCCTGATTCTCTAAATGTTTGCATCTGCCCAGCTCTGTGCTGTGAGAAGCGCCCGACCAGCGCTGATCAGCCTAACAGCGCGCAGCCTGGCTGACGGCTCATTTCGGTTAACGAAGCCTAGGTATGAAAGAAAACTGTAGCGAAATTAAAAGTAGATTACCGGCCCACAGAAAATACTGAGTAAAGAGTAAAAGTAGGCTGCAGTTTTAAAAAGGTGAACGTGAAAAGGTGACTTATTATTATTTATTTATTTATTTTGTAACAAGTTAGTCCCCGCCCTGCCGCTGGCGTCCCCAGTAAGTAAGAGCAGCACAAAAGAAACGTAATATTGAGGCGCTTTGCTGCAGCTGCCTCAAGCGAACTTTTCAGCACCACCTTTGCCTCCTGTCTCCTTTTCTACGGGCCTCCCTGATTTTTTGTCCGTTACATCATGAATGTAACTGCACGAACGGAAAGAGGACGAGAAACTTTTCTTTCTGCTCTGTAAATAATATAAATCTACTTTTGATTTATAAATTAATCCTGTAGCACATAAACACATGCTGGAATATAACTTCACTTTTTATTTATTTGCAGATAAACTATTGGTCACTGATCTAAATATATAGATAATAAAAACTTCTGTGATGGTGATTCTGTTAATAAACTGGTCTTTCGTATTACCTGACGGGGGGGCGGAGCTGACAAAGGCTGAAGGTACCACTTTGACCTGATTGGCCCCTCCCGTAGGACCCGGGAACACCGTCACAGTGACGACCCGGGACTCAGGCGCTTCCCCCGCGGGCTGGTCAGAGGAAGCAGCCGATTGGCCGACCTTCACTGCTGCAGGCTGAAGCCCTGTGACACACAGACGGTCGGTTTGAGGCGTTAAAGCAGCGGCTGCTGTTGTTAGAGAGCACTTGGGACCCCGGCCTTTACTTTTGGGACCCCAGCCTTTACTTTTGGGACCAGGCCTTTACTTTTGGGACCCGGCCTTTACTTTTGGGACCCCGGCCTTTACTTTTGGGACCCCAGCCTTTACTTTTGGGACCCAGGCCTTTACTTTTGGGACCTGGCCTTTACTTTTGGGACCTGGCCTTTACTTTTGGGACCTCGGCCTTTACTTTTGGGACCTCGGCCTTTACTTTTGGGACCCAGCCTTACTTTTGGGACCTGGCCTTTACTTTTGGGACCTGGCCTTTACTTTTGGGACCTGGCCTTTACTTTTGGGACCTGGCCTTTACTTTTGGGACCCAGCCTTTACTTTTGGGACCTGGCCTTTACTTTTGGGACCCAGGCCTTTACTTTTGGGACCCAGCCTTTACTTTTGGGACCCGGCCTTTACTTTTGGGACCTGGCCTTACTTTTGGGACCTGGCCTTTACTTTTGGGACCCAGCCTTTACTTTTGGGACCCGGCCTTTACTTTTGGGACCCCGGCCTTTACTTTTGGGACCCCGGCCTTTACTTTTGGGACCCCGGCCTTTACTTTTGGGACCTGGCCTTTACTTTTGGGACCTCGGCCTTTACTTTTGGGACCAGGCCTTTACTTTTGGGACCAGGCCTTTAACTTGAGGAAGTACGATAAAGAATTGTGCGTTCACCTGTGGAGGAGGTGGGCAGCGTTAACACCGTGACCGACGTCTGAGGCCTGGGTGGGGGGGCGGCAGCGAGGCCAGACACCACAGAGGTATCTGAGGACACGGTGATCAGGGTCGGTCCTGGACTCTGGTTCTGAGGAGGTTTAGAGGAGGAGGAAGAGGAAGGAGAACCTTGTTGGTTCCTGTTGGAGCCCACCCGGCCGGTGAGATAGGCTGCCAGTCTGTTCGCAGGATGGAGCGCCCCCATCTTCCCCAACTGGATCTTAGCCAGAGGATAGAGCTTCCCGTTCACCTGCAGCAACAGAAGAGAACATCACAGATCTGACATCTCTCTGGATTTAAACTTTCAGTGATTCTGGAGTCAGATCTGAAGAGAAAACAGAAAATGAAGCACTCAGGTGACAACATGTTGAAAGGAGTTTCTGAGTGTCAGGGCTGAACGATTTGGGAAAAAAAAAAAAAAACGAACTGCGATTTTTCTGCCTGTTATTGAGTTTACGATTCGATTTTCGATTGTTGTACTGAAGTTCAGCTAAAGTTCAATATTCACTGCCAGTCTGTTTTTGACGGAAGCTGCGTCAAGCAGCACAGAGCAGATGAACCAGGCAGGAAGTCAGCCACAGAACGGCATAGAGAACCCGGTTTTCAAAATAAAACACCCTTTGCAGACTCCCGATCATATATCAACTTTAAACACAGTTAAACCGACAAAAGGAAGAAACTACGTAGCTACTTAACCACGGCAGAAGTCAAGCAGCAAAATCAAGCTGCGATCTGCAGCTGAAGCACACAAAGAGACACATTAACAACGTGCAGGCTGAACGCCGCGCTGCCGAAACACGGCAGTGTGAGTTGATGCCGGACAAAACTGCAGCGACAGCTGGCGCCTGAGTCGGTTCGGCTGGCGCCATTATCGCACGTTTTCCTTTAGTTTGGTTTGTGGTAAAATGTGCACGCTCTGTGCTCGCTCTGATTGGTGGGTAGGACCTTAACAGCAGGCGCATGGCGAGTAGGTCAGATGTATAAATTAACCTACATTTTAATCGCCGTCCTCACAATGAGCTAACGGCGTTCTTTCAAACTGAAAACGATTAATCGTTCAGCTCTACTGCGTGTAAATAACCAGATCTTCCATCTACTGATGAGGACAGAGACGCCGCAGCTGAAGCGTCATTTAAAGTGTCGGCCGAGGTGAACGAGTTTATCTGTGGGTGGAGTTTACTCAGTCGTCATAGAGATCGGGGGGGGGCGGTTCAAAGTGGATTATTTAGATTCTTTTTTATTATTTTTGTCTAATTTTAATTTGATGAACTCCACAAACTGTCTGAATGTTCAGGAACCTGCGGTAAACCCACATGTGGCGTTCTTACCTGGACCGTGTGCTCTGTTGCCCCCTGCTGCTTCCTGTTGGCTGAGAGGAAGCCGGCGGGCGAGATTCCCGTCAGGAAAGGCAGAGCCATGCTGACCCTCTCCTCCTTCGACCTCAGCTTCGCTCTCTCTCCCCCATCACGCACCTGGTGAGCTGTTGATCCTGCCTCTTCCTCGATGTCACCGTCCTCCACCTCTCGCTGCCAGTCTTCGAGAGGCTCCGCCTCTTCCTCCTCCACCTCTCGCTGCCAGTCTTCGTGAGGCTCCGCCTCTTCCTCCTCCACCTCTCGCTGCCAGTCTTCGTAGGGCTCCGCCTCCCCGAGCACCTGTTTGAGGTGTTCCTGCTGAGAGACACGAGGTAAATGTTACAGATCAGTCATCGTGTTGTCAACACTGACGGCTGCAGAGTCACATGATATAGAACATGTGACACATGGCATCGTGGGATTGCTTCCAGGCAGTGGAGGACCACAGATTCTTGCTACCTGCTGCCGGTTTGTCTCCTTCTGGTTTTCTGGCTGTGCTGGTTGTTCCTGGTCCTGTTGGGGTCTGGAGATGTGGATTTTGTACTGGATGCAGCTGTCGGCGCCGCTCTCCTCCTGCGTCTGGCTGATCGGACTGATGAGGTACTTTCTGATCCAGAAGGGTCGGTTCAGTTGGTCCATAGCCATCGCCTCGCACAGCTTCTTCAACACGTGGTTCCGGTCGGCGTCGCTCAGCCACTTACATTCCGCCAAGATGATCAGACGCTTCGATGGCTTCGGCTCCGCGGGAGGGGTGGCGGGCCGGCCGGAGGGCACCGGCTGGACCGGTTCACCTGCTGAAGGAAAACCCAAAACCTGAATCAGTTTCCAAAAAGTCACCACGGAGAGTGATGCTCCAGATTATTATTATTATTCATTAACGTCGTCACACAGGACTTAGATTACACGCCAACAGAGAAGATCAGCTGATCCGAGTCTCTCAGGTCTAAACCAGCTCCATGAAGCAGGCTGATCCTGGTTCAGTTTGCTGGGTTCATTCAAGACACAGTAAGAACTGCTTTGTGATGGGATGGCGGCGTTGATGTCACTGAACCCACCTGGGGGAGGAGGTGGGGGTGCTGCCTCTGTGTCCCTGAGTGTCAGGTCTCTCTGTTTCAAAGCTTTCAGCCGAGCGCCGTTAGACTTCAGGCCGTTAGACTTCACGTCGTTAGACGGATCCTGCAGGACAAACATCAGACGGTCAGTAAAAGCAGATCTTTAGGGACATGAACTGGGACGGTGTTTCCCACGCATAGACGACGCCCGCCCAGGTGCGTTGACGGCGTCCCGCCCAGGTATGTTAACACCCAGGTGTATTAACGACCTGGTGTATCAACCGCGTCCCGCCCAGGTGTATTAACGCCCAGGTGTATTAACAGACGCCCAGGTGTATCAACGCCCAGGTGTATTAACGACCTGGTGTATCAACCGCTTCCCGCCCAGGTGTATCAACGCCCAGGTGTATTAACAGTCGCCCAGGTGTATCAACGCCCAGGTGTATTAACGACCTGGTGTATCAACCGCGTCCCGCCCAGGTGTATTAACGCCCAGGTGTATTAACAGTCGCCCAGGTGTATCAACGCCCAGGTGTATTAACGACCTGGTGTATCAACCGCGTCCCGCCCAGGTGTATTAACGCCCAGGTGTATTAACAGACGCCCAGGTGTATCAACGCCCAGGTGTATTAACGACCTGGTGTATCAACCGCTTCCCGCCCAGGTGTATCAACGCCCAGGTGTATTAACAGTCGCCCAGGTGTATCAACGCCCAGGTGTATTAACGACCTGGTGTATCAACCGCGTCCCGCCCAGGTGTATTAACGCCCAGGTGTATTAACAGTCGCCCAGGTGTATCAACGCCCAGGTGTATTAACGACCTGGTGTATCAACCGCGTCCCGCCCAGGTGTATTAACGCCCAGGTGTATTAACAGTCGCCCAGGTGTATCAACGCCCAGGTGTATTAACAGTCGCTCAGGTGTATCAACCGCGTCCCGCCCAGGTGTATTAACAGTCGCTCAGGTGTATTAACAGCCGCTCAGGTGTATTAACAGCCGCTCAGGTGTATTAACAGTCGCTCATGTGTATTAACGCCCAGGTCTATTAACAGTCGGCCAGTTGTATTAACGCCCAGGTGTATTAACAGTCGCTCAGGTGTATTAACGCCCAGGTGTATTAACAGTCGCTCAGGTGTATTAACGCCCAGGTGTATTAACAGTCGCTCAGGTGTATTAACGCCCAGGTGTATTAACAGTGGGCCAGTTGTATTAACGGGCAGGTGTATTAACAGTGGGCCAGGTGTATTAACGCCCAGGTGTATTAACAGTCGGGCAGGTGTATTAACAGTGGGCCAGGTGTATTAATGGCCAGGTGTATTAACAGTGGGCCAGGTGTATTAACGCCCAGGTGTATTAACAGTGGGCCAGGTGTATTAACGCCCAGGTGTATTAACGCCCAGGTGTATTAACAGTCGGCCAGGTGTATTAACAGTCGGCCAGGTGTATTAACAGTCGGCCAGGTGTATTAACAGTCGGCCAGGTGTATTAACAGTGGGCCAGGTGTATTAACGGCCAGGTGTGTTAACAGTCGGCCAGGTGTATTAACAGTCGCTCATGTGTATTAACGCCCAGGTGTATTAACAGTCGGCCAGGTGTATTAACGCCCAGGTGTATTAACAGTCGCCCAGGTGTATTAACGGCCAGGTGTGTTAACAGTCGGCCAGGTGTATTAACAGTGGGCCAGGTGTATTAACGGCCAGGTGTGTTAACAGTCGGCCAGGTGTATTAACAGTGGGCCAGGTGTATTAACGGCCAGGTGTGTTAACAGTCGGCCAGGTGTATTAACGGCCAGGTGTATTAACAGTCGGCCAGGTGTATTAACAGTCGGCCAGGTGTATTAACAGTGGGCCAGGTGTATTAATGCCCAGGTGTATTAACAGTGGGCCAGGTGTGTTAACAGTCGGCCAGGTGTGTTAACGGCCAGGTGTATTAACAGTCGGCCAGGTGTATTAACGGCCAGGTGTGTTAACAGTCGGCCAGGTGTATTAACAGTGGGCCAGGTGTATTAACGGCCAGGTGTGTTAACAGTGGGCCAGGTGTGTTAACAGTGGGCCAGGTGTGTTAACAGTGGGCCAGGTGTGTTAACAGTGGGCCAGGTGTGTTAACAGTGGGCCAGGTGTATTAACAGTCGGCCAGGTGTGTTAACAGTCGGCCAGGTGTATTAACAGTCGGCCAGGTGTATTAACAGTCGGCCAGGTGTATTAACAGTCGGCCAGGTGTATTAACGGCCAGGTGTGTTAACAGTCGGCCAGGTGTATTAACGGACAGGTGTATTAACGGACAGGTGTATTAACAGTCGGCCAGGTGTGTTAACAGTCGGCCAGGTGTGTTAACAGTCGGCCAGGTGTGTTAACAGTCGGCCAGGTGTGTTAACAGTCGGCCAGGTGTATTAACAGTCGGCCAGGTGTGTTAACAGTCGTCCAGGTGTGTTAACAGTCGGCCAGGTGTGTTAACAGTCGGCCAGGTGTGTTAACAGTCGGCCAGGTGTATTAACGCCCAGGTGTATTAACAGTCGGCCAGGTGTATTAAGTTTATAAAACATCCCGCTGATGCAGGAAGTCAGCTGACACACAGAAGGGGGCGGGGTCAGCAGGTGTGTTTATGCGTATATTTCCTCTGTTAATGTGAAGACTTAACGGCCATCTTTTAATCTGCTGACTCCTTCCTGGTGATCCGGCGTCTCGGTGCTGCTAACTGTTAATGTGGCAGCTACAAACCAGCTGGACCTGACAGCAGCTCTTAGAGTGCGCCGACCTTCCTTCTAAATGAAAAACACAGACCAATCAGGAGCTTTACCCTCTGCTTCCTGGTCTTCTTCTTCTTCTTCCCCGTGTAACCTCTGACCCGGGCACAGCTGCTGTCGTCCTCTCTCCTCTTCTGGAAACAAACAGAATCAGACTGATCAAAGAACTAAAACACAAACATCATCTGCTACACAGACGAAAGACTGAGTCCTTACGGCGGGCCGGGACAGAGATGCTGGCTCAGGGATGTGGACCGGGTCTGGATCCGAGTCTCCAACGTCCCTCTTCCACAGAGTCCGGACGCGCTCGGCAGGCTGGGAGACGGTGTCCGCCTCCTTCAGAACTAGAAGCGGTGAGAAACCAGGCAGCAGGTGAGCATTTCATTTCATCAGATCCAGCAGATGATTTATTTATTCTGTCTTTACAGTCCACAAACATGTGAGAGATGGCGCCGACTGCCACGGCACGCCATTTCTATGGTGGCGTCTCTGCTTGTTAATAACACTGAATCATCGCTGGTTCATGAGCGCCAAGCACTTTTCGATATCTGGGATTCTTTTGGGAGCTTTCGCATGTTGAGGGTGGACATGGTGCAAATCCTCCACCTCTTCCTGGTTACGGTACCAGAGGAGCTTCGCCGCCGGGAGTCAACTTTCCTGCCCCGGGTGAGATCTCGCAGGACACGCCGGCGAGCTCGCGGTACACGTTCTGGTCAGAGTGTGAAGTTAAATGCACGGCTGGGAAGGACTTACATGGACCCGTGTGTTGGTACTTGCTATAATCATCTGGATTTGGCGTTTTCAACCCGTTTACCCGGCGGGCCCCGAGTCCGGTCAGCTGTTGCAGCCCTGTTGGACTGGGGGGAGGCGGTTGCATTGCGTCGCCGGTCGATGCGGGAACAAAAGGTCCAGATCGCTCTTCTGAACGTCCGGTCTAACATTAAATATTTGAATTCCCACGCTCTAGATTTTCTGCTCATGACCAAGACGTGGGTGCGTGAGGGTGACGAATCGCCACTGATGGAACTTTGTCACGCTTTAGATTTAGTTTGAAGCTGTGGTTTGTCGGTGTCAGTTAATAATTCAGTGCTTTACCAATTTCAGATCACTCGCTGACGTTATTTGACATTTCTATCCCTAATTCATGTAGCGCAGGGAAAATGGTGCCGAAGACAAGATATTAGCGCTAGTGCTTTAAATGACCTTAACTTGAACCAACCAGATGTGATGGATCCAGGTTTTAGCCTTTTCTGCCTCACAGACAACTTTAATGGTGCACTCTGGGATTTGTTGGCACGGGGCGCTCCAGCTAAGACACGGAAGTGTCCTCTAAAAAATCTTACACCTTGGCTAAATGAGGAGCTACCGACTATCAGAAGCAGCTGCTGAAAGGTTGAGCGTCAGTGGCGCCATACTGAGCTTGGAGTTCATTATCGGCACGGCACGCCCGCCAGTCTGCGGCACAGGCAGCTTCTTCTAATGCGATTCTGAATAATAAGCATCACCCTAGACTTCTATTAGGACTGTCGATAGACTTACACAGCAGCCAGTAAGTAGCACGGATCTGTCAGCACGTGATTTATGACGTATTTTCATGAGAGAGTTGAGGACGTCCGAACTTCGACATCCCAGTCAGATGTCGGGGGATCAGACTGCGCTACCACCATTTTCTACAGGACGGCGCCGATTTCTTTGGCTGAACTAAAACTGTTGTGACTGCGAGAGGAACCACTTGCTCTCTGGATCCCTCGCCTGAAGTATGGCCAACATTAGGACTGTATGTTTCAGCTCTTTTAAACCTTTCGCTTTTTTTCCGGCTTGCTTCAAATCTGCGGTGGAAGAAACCAAATCTGGATATAAACTCGAAAAATTATAGAGCTGTTTCTAATTTGGCCTTCTTATCTAAAGTGGTCTCAAATCAGCTTTTAAAATTTCTCTCATCTACTAATCTTTTTGAGCCGCTGCAGTCTGCTTTTCTACAGAAAGGCGGTAAACGCTCTGTTACTGGCTGCTGACACAGACTTAACGTCGGTAAACAGAAAACGTCCTGCTACTCAAGAGAAGAGATGATAGCTGTGGGACCAGCTAGATTAGGTCATTTGTATGACAAAGTTACTCTCCATTGATGATTCGGTCATTCATTGCGAGGAGAGAGTAAAGAATCTCGGGGTCGTTTCTGATCGATCACTTTTGTTTGATTTGCATATTAAAGAAGTATTGGTCCTTAAAGATGCCGGGGCCCTTATTCCTGCCTTTCTTACATCTAGGCTGGATTACTGTAACGTTCCGTTCTCTGGGCTGCCTAAGAGAAGTCTGCGAGGTCTGCAGATGGTCCAGAATGCTGCAGCTCATATTCTGACTGGATCGTGCAGTAACTGCTGTGCCTGTTCAGGTTAGAGCAGACTTTAAGGTTTTGTTGTTCTATCTGTCTGATCTTGTAAATTCTTATGTGCATACACGGGTGCTGCGCTCCCACGGGACATGACCTAACGCCAACAACCGGCAGAAACTAGGCCGACGTGTTCAGGTTTTCAAATCAAAGCTTAACACCTTCTTCTTCACTTTACTAGCAGTTTGATTGAAATAAATGGATTATTATTACTACTATTATGTAGAAACAGTCAGCGTGAGCAGAGTGGATCACACACAGAAGGTGTATTTTATCTGAATGGAAACAGCAGCTGGTTAGCCTAGCTTAGCATAAAGACTGGAACCAGGGGGAGACAGCGAGCAGACGTCCCCTGCAGGACGAGTCTGAGGCTTCATAAAGGTGGTGCAGGTGGTGTACTCACCGTAGGCCATCTTCATCCTCCTCTTCCTCTTCCTCTTCTTGTTGTTGTCGTGGCGCGAGGGGCTGGAGTCGGACCCGTCCAGGTTCTTGAGGATGACCACCTTCTGTTTGAGGCAGCTGCAGCCCAGCATGCAGTGCGGCCGGCCGCAGTGGCTGCCGGTGGAGCGGTGTGCCAGGCTGGAGCAGACGCATCCCAGCCTGCAGAACTCGTTCAGGCAGGGAGGGGCCCGTCTCCGGACCAGCTGGATGGGAGCGGTCGGGTTCTCGCTGACAAAACCCTGAGGAGAAACCAGAGGGGCGGAGTCAGGGTACGGCACATGAACCAGGGCGGCTACAGTGAGGACTGTGTTAACACGTTTAAAGGTAACGCACGTGTACACGTCTAAATTAAGTACCAAAGTACAAGTACGCATTATGCAGAATGGTACTCACTAGTAGTAATACCACAGTGAAGTACTGAATGTAAAATTTTACTTAGTCCTCCTAATTATTTTATTCTTATTTCAGAATAATGTAGATTATATTTATTGAAACTGAAGGAATTCTTTTTCCTTTTTCTTCTTTTCTGCAAATGAATATTTGGGGGAATAATTTCCTCCGACCACTGAAATTATTTAAAAAGGTAAACAGAAGAGGAGCTGTGCATAAAAACCTCATAAAAATTAAAACCACAAGAGCAATAGTGCAAACGAATAGGAAATTAAATGTGGACTCTTAAACATCAGATCTCTCTCTTCTAAAAGGTGTACTAGTAAATGAACTAATATCAGATTATGATATTAGCCTAAATGAATCCACCCCTCCCAGTCATATTAATACTCACATTCCTCGAGGCACAGGCCGAGGAGGTGGAGTTGCAGCTATCTTCCACTCTAGCCTACTAATCAGCTCTAAACCTAAATTAAACTATAACTCATTTGAAAGCCTTGTTCTTGGTCTTTCGCACCCAAGTTGGAAATCACTGCAACCAGTTCTTGTCGTTATAGTGTACCGAGCACCTGGCCCGTACTCTGAATTCATATCTGAATTTGCAGAGTTTTTGTCAACTTTAGTCCTTAAAAGTTTAAATTGATGGGATTAGTTTTCCAGTAGGACGAGTTAAAGGACCGAGCTTGTAAATCACCGAAAATGACCTTTAAATTCAAAATGGCTGACTTCCTGTTGGGTTTAGGGCATCGCTCCCAGAGGCTTTTTTGTAGGTCTGGAACAATCAGGAAGCTTCCGGTCAGAGAACTGAGGCGGACGTGGAAGAACCTTAACCTGCATTCTCTCCAGCAGCCAGCAGGGGGCGACTTAAACCTGCGTCCTCTCCAGCAGCCAGCAGGGGGCGACTTAAACCTGCGTCCTCTCCAGCAGCCAGCAGGGGGCGACTTAAACCTGCGTCCTCTCCAGCAGCCAGCAGGGGGCGACTTAAACCTGCGTCCTCTCCAGCAACCAGCAGGGGGCGACTTAAACCTGCGTCCTCTCCAGCAGCCAGCAGGGGGCGACTTAAACCTGCGTCCTCTCTAGCAGCCAGCAGGGGGCGACTTAAACCTGCGTCCTCTCCAGCAACCAGCAGGGGGCGACTTAAACCTGCGTCCTCTCCAGCAGCCAGCAGGGGCGACTTAAACCTGCGTCCTCTCCAGCAGCCAGGGGGCGACTTAAACCTGCGTCCTCTCCAGCAGCCAGCAGGGGGCGACTTAAACCTGCGTCCTCTCTAGCAGCCAGCAGGGGGCGACTTAAACCTGCGTCCTCTCTAGCAGCCAGCAGGGGGCGACTTAAACCTGCGTCCTCTCTAGCAGCCAGCAGGGGGCGACTTAAACCTGCGTCCTCTCTAACAGCCAGCAGGGGGCGACTTAAACCTGCGTCCTCTCTAACAGCCAGCAGGGGGCGACTTAAACCTGCATTCTCTCTAGCAGCCAGCAGGGGCCCTCCAAAATCAATCATCTTGTTGATAGTGCTGCAGGCTCGCTGCGAATGACACTCGACTCTGTAGCCCCGCTAAAAAATAAAATACTAAAACAAAGACGGTTAGCTCCATGGTATAATACTGAACTCGCAAATTAAAGCAAATATTGCGGAAACTTGAGAGGAATTGGCGTTCCACCAAACTGGAAAATTCTTCTTTAATTTGGCAATATAGTCTTAAAACTTCGCCCTCCGTAATGCCAGAGCAGCGTACTACTCGTCATTAATAGAGGAAAATCGGAACAACGCCAGGTTTCTTTTCAGCACTGTAGCCAGGCTGACAGAGAGTCACAGCTCTATTGAGCCAAGTATTCCCATAGCTCTCAGTAGTTACGACTTCATGAGCTTCTTTAATGATAAAATTCTAGCTATTAGAGACAAAATTCACCAAGACCTGCCCTCAATTGGCACCGACTTATCTCTAAACTCAGGAACCTTAGAAACAGCTGTAGAACCAGATACATGTTTAGACTGTTTTGCTTCCCTCAATCTTTACCAACTAACTTCAATAATTTCTTCATCTAAACCATCAACCTGCCTCTTAGACCCCATCCCGACTAGGCTGCTTAAAGATGTTCTACCCTTAGTCAGCACCTCTATACTAGATATGATCAATCTATCTTTATCAACAGGCTATGTACCACAGTACTTTAAAGTAGCTGTAATTAAACCTCTTCTGAAAAAGCCCAAACTTGATCCGGATGTTTTAGCCAACTATAGACCTATATCTAACCTTCCATTTCTCTCTAAGGTTCTGGAGAAAGCAGTTGCTAAACAGCTGTGTGACTTTCTACAGAGCAATAGTTTATTTGAGGATTTTCAGTCAGGATTTAGAGCTCATCACAGCACAGAGACAGCACTGGTGAAAATTACTAATGACCTCCTTATTGCATCAGACAAAGGACTTGTCTCTGTACTGGTTTTATTAGATCTTAGTGCTGCATTTGATACCATTGACCATCAGATCCTATTGCAGAGACTGGAATATTAATTGGCATTAAAGGAACCGCTCTAAGCTGGTTTAAGTCCTATTTATCAGATCGATTTCAGTTTGTACATGTTAACGATGAGTCCTCCATGCACGCCAAAGTTAGTCCACAAGGATCTGTCCTCGGACCAATCCTCTTCACTTTATATATGCTTCCTTTAGGCAATATTATTAGGAAATATTCCATAAACTTTCATTGTTATGCAGATGATACTCAGTTATATCTATCGATCAAACCAGATGAAACTCATCAGTTAGCTAAACTTCAAATGTGCCTTCAGGATGTTAAAACCTGGATGACCTGTAATTTTCTAATGTTAAACTCAGATAAAACTGAAGTTATTGTTCTGGGGCCTAAGCACCTCCGTGACGCATTATCTAAAGATATAGTTTCCCTTGATGGCATCGCCCTGGCCTCCAGCACCACTGTGAGGAATCTTGGAGTTATCTTTGATCAGGACATGTCGTTTAAGTCTCACATTAAGCAAATTTCAAAGACCGCCTTTTTTCACCTATGTAATATTGCGAAAATCAGGAACATCCTGTCTAAAAATGATGCAGAAAAACTAGTCCATGCATTTGTTACTTCTAGGCTGGATTACTGCAATTCCTTATTATCAGGCTACTTGAAAAAGTCCATTAAGACTCTTCAGCTGATCCAGAATGCTGCAGCTCGTGTTCTGACAGGAACCAGGAAAAGAGATCATATTTCTCCTGTTTTAGCTTCTTTGCATTGGCTTCCAGTAAAATCCAGAATAGAATTTAAAATCATACAAAGCTCTTAATGGTCAGGCACCATCTTATCTTAAAGAGCTCATAGTACCTTACTACCCCACCAGAGCACTGCGCTCCCAGAATGCAGGGTTACTTGTGGTTCCTAGAGTCTCCAAAAGTAGACTAGGAGCCAGAGCGTTCAGCTATCAAGCTCCTCTCCTGTGGAACCAGGTTCCAGTTTGGGTTCAGGAGGCAGACACCATCTCCACATTTAAGAGTAGGCTTAAGACTTTCCTCTTTGATAAAGCTTATAGTTAGGGCTGGCTCAGGTGAGTCCTGAACCATCCCTTAGTTATGCTGCTATAGGCCTAGACTGCCGGGGGATTTCCCATGATGCACTGAGCTCCTCTCTCCTCTACTTTCTCTCCCTCTGTATGCAACCTCATCCCATTATTGCATGTTACTAACACAACTTCTCCCCTTTCTGGTAGTCTTGTGCTTTCTCGTCCCTCTCCTCTCTCCTCCTATCACTTCCTGCAGGTTTTCTGGCTCTGGAGCTGTGGAGTCTGGATCTGTGGTTGCGGGTCACCTGCTGCCCCCGTGTTCCTGCTCGACACCCTCTGCTGCAACAACTATTGTTACTAGTCCTATTATTATTATTGTTATTATAATCATTAACATTACGATTGTTATCATTAACACTACTATAAATATCTGTACCATTTTTCATTTAGTCTATAGCAACATCACCTTTACTGTCTGTACCTCTGTGTGGATATTGTGTAGGCTGCCTCCCTTTCCCTCCCTCTTCCTTCCTTCCTCGCTCTCTCTCTCTCTCCTTCACCCTAACCAGTCGAGGCAGATGGCCGCCCACCCTGAGTCATGGTTCTGCTCGAGGTTTCTGCCTCTTAAAGGAAGTTTTTCCTTGCCTCTGTCTCCTAGTGCTGCTCTTGGTGGGAACTGTTGGGCTTCTGTAAATAGCATCATAGAGTACGGTCTAGACCTGCTCTTTATGAAAAGTGCTGTGAGATAACTGTTGTTGTGATTTGGCGCTATATAAATAAAATTGAACTGAATCGAAATTGAAGCGCATTTTTCAGTCAGATGTCATATGTTTAAGTGCATGGGCAAAGTGGTGCGCAGGCGCCCCCTACAGAGTGGGTAACTCTCAAATGTCCAAAGTCTTTGTGGCAGACGCATCCCGTCCAGACCACAGATTGTATAAAAGAAGTGGAATTAGTCATCGGGACGCCACCTGTTTGTTTGTGGACTGCCGTTTTGAAGCCTCGAGTTTGGCGCCGTGGGCACAATTCACTCTAGCCTGGTTGATAAGTCATTACGTTGGCGACTTGCCCCGCCCTAAAGCCTCCCCTGCTTCCTGGTCTCTGTTCCTCTAAATGGGACCATATTTTACTAAATGAACATCATGCTGTGTTGAAGAAGATTTGAAACTAGCGACTGAGACCATAAACTCATCAGGAAAGTGTTTACTGAGGGAATAAATCAGCTGACAAGTAGAAACATTTTCTCACAGACTTCTATACAATCACATTCTTTCTGCAGGAGTCGCCCCTGCTGGCCGCTAGAGAGGACGCAGGTTTAAGGCGCCCCCTGCTGGCTGCTGGAGAGGACGCAGGTTTAAGTCGCCCCCTGCTGGCTGTTAGAGAGGACGCAGGTTTAAGTCGTCCCCCTGCTGGCTGTTAGAGAGGACGCAGGTTTAAGTCGCCCCCTGCTGGCCGCTGGAGAGGACGCAGGTTTAAGTCGCCCCCTGCTGGCCGCTGGAGAGGACGCAGGTTTAAGTCGCCCCCTGCTGGCCGCTAGAGAGGACGCAGGTTTAAGTCGCCCCCTGCTGGCCGCTAGAGAGGACGCAGGTTTAAGTCGCCCCCTGCTGGCCACTAGAGAGGACGCAGGTTTAAGTCGCCCCTGCTGGCTGCTAGAGAGGACGCAGGTTTAAGTCGCCCCCTGCTCAAGCCGGATCGATTGATACCCCCCCCCTCCATCACAGTGGAGTTCCGTTCTAAATCTACAGGCCTGTAAAGCATGGGAGTGCTTTTGGTGACAGGAATGTTGATGAATACTCCTGTTTTTATCAATATTGCAATGTTTTGTCATTTGGAAATAGGTTGTACGGACTGAAAAAGTGTTTTAAAGATATCTATCAATATAAGTCAGCATTTTAACAATAAATATTGCTAAAATATGGAAATTCGCCTGGTATATTTGAAAATGTTGTATGATAACTGTTTGTTTTCATCAGATTTACAGTTACAATTGCATTCTAGGTGTATTAGAAAATATTCAGTTGCATTAAAAGCTAACTCAGGATGGTTTTGATGGTTTATTGCATCAAAGTATAGTTTTTTTTTTTACCAGGCAAGTCAGCCATTTTGAATTTAAAGGTAATTTTCGGTGATTTACAAGCTCGGCCCTTTAACTCGTCCTACTGGAAAACTAATCCCATCAACTTAAATCTTTCGCCACACATTCTGAAGGCTTTGCTGATGAACAATTGTGCTATTTGGGAGGTTTCGCCAATGGGCGTATCCGTGGCATCGACGATCAATGATTCACCATTAAACAGGACGTTTACATGCACGGAAAGAGTCCCGCCCTGAACACATCTACATGCCAACATTCAGTTATATTTATAGCACCATCTACAGGCAACAAGAAGTGAGCTCTGTGTCTCGTGTTTTACAAGTTTTCAGCGCGTTCCACACTTGACGTACTGTTACACAACGTTTAGTTACCAAGTGCTCTCTAGCGCCACATAGGGGTCACAGGAAGTGACATTTAAGTCCTTTTTGGAGAAGGGCCCGGTTGGGGACTGTAGCTTAGGGGGCGTGGTGTGAGCGTGGTTCTCGGTGTAGGTCAAAGTTCATCAGACTAGAAGGCGGGGGCGAGGGGACGAGGGGCGCAGCGTGAGCGCGGGACAAGAACAAATTGAGCGAGAGACTTTAATTATAATTTCACTCTTTATGCTAATGCTATAATGCCCTGTGTATTTGTATAATATTGCGCTTTAAATAAAGTTTTTCTTTAAATCAAGGGCTTATGTCAACTACAATGTTCACACAAGCGTGGTACATATTGCATGTGCAGAACCGACCATGTGCTGCGGCTCCAGCCAATCATTACAGACCGTGAGGGGGCGTGGCATGAGCGAGGGGCGTGGCATGAGCGCCAGGGTCGCTGCACGAGTGGTGCTACAGTCTGGACCTCATCGCCTTTTTGAGGAGTCCATATGCGGTCCATACGAGTCCAAAATGCGGGATAATTCAGGGCTGGGTCTCCCGACCTCCAACCACGGTCTCTACTTTGGGCTCGGCGCCGATACCTGCAGCTGTGATCTCTCACCTTTAGTGTGAAGAGCGAGGTCAGAGCGATGGTGGCCCTCTCCTCGGTGATGCTGGTCCGGAGGCGGCCCTCCCACACCACCCCGTCCTCCAGGTCCTTCTGTCTCAGCAAAGCTCGGGTCATCATGGGCCCGCTGTCCTTTCTGTAAGAGTCAGCGCTCTGATCGACGGCAGTCCCGAGCTCAGAGTCTGACTCCAGCGGAGCCATGTCTCCCGAGAGGCCGGGTGGGGGGGCCGCGGACCTGGGGGGGCTGAGGGTTTGGGACGAGGTCTTGGGTTTCAGCCTCTTCCTCCTTTTGAAGGCGGGGGGTTGTGGAGAGAGAGCTGACAGTTCTGTGTGGTCGGACTGGACTTTCAGGAGGTTGTTTCTTTGACTTGTGAGGGGCTGTGAGTTCTGATGGACCTGCAGGCTGTTTGGGGACCAGGTTTAAGTCAGCTGGACTGGGCTCAGATGCTGAACCTGGAGGTTCTCCTCTGAGTTTCCTGGGTTTTGGACCTCTCTGCTTCCTGTCTTCTCTCCTGGATGTTGTGGTCTCTTTGCGGGTGAGTTTGGGTCTCTTGGACGGGGGGATGAACCCAGATATGAGGTCTGAGGTGGGCGAGCTGACGGACTGCTTCTTCAGGATGCTGTCGAGGGTCCGGACGTAGCTGGTGCTCCTGACGGGCAGCTCGTAGACCACCGGCTCCGCCACGGGCTGAGAGAAGCTGGCGGCTCGCTCGTCGATCAGCTTCCCTTCGTTCTCCAGGTACTCGTCCAACATGTCGCTGCAGAACGCCGACAGGTTCTTCTTCGGCAGCTCTGATCTGGGACCAGCTGCGGGACGTAAGAGGGACAGATGATTTAGACGCAGGTCAGATTCTGGCTTCATCTTCAGGCTTCAACTAACCAATATCTGAATCACTGTTTTCTTAATTCATCAATGGACAGCTGTGTTACCCAACACGCGTTGTTATCAGTCTCACTAATGTCAAACAAATATTGATAATGCAACATAATATTTATTAACAAACTTTTTATTGATTGACTTTGGAGTTCCTGCTATTTATTGTTCTTTGTCTTCCTTCTATTTGGGGGAAAAGCATGTTCTCAGTTTTAGAACTACGGCTCCCATAATGCTTTGGGAATGTATAGGAAGTATAGCCATGGATTCAGTGAGTCTTACTAGAGACAGTTTAAGAGGAGACACCCCACTCAAAGAATCGTTACTACAATTCTATAGAGAGCTTCAGAAAAAATATATCTGCTAGTCAACGGCGAGAGACAACTCATTTTTTGATCCCGTTTGAATTGTGCGCTGAATCACACACATGATGATGGTCAATTTTAAATAAACATTTGAAAGTCAAGACAGTCGCAGTTTGATGTTGAAGCATCAGACTGAAAATACATAATTACACAGACCACAAACCCAAAAGTCACGTATGTGACGCCATAACTTTTTCTCTCAATGACTTAACGTCACTGAAGCTAACGTCACAGGAGCTAACGTTACTGAAGCTAACGTCACAGGAGCTAACGTTACTGACGCTAACGTCACAGGAGCTAACATCACTGAAGCTAACGTCACTGAAGCTAACTTACTGAAGCTAACGTCACGTTACTGACGCTAACGTCACAGGAGCTAACGTCACTGAAGCTAACGTCACTGGAGCTAAGATCATGAGGTTCTTGGGAAGTAAAGTCCCACTGAATGATTCAACATGTGTTTCATGTCTGAGAGTTCAGTTCTGACTGAGTAACTATTGTTACTAGTCCTATTGTTATTATAATCATTAACATTACGACTCTCTCTCTCTCTCTCTCTCTCTCTCTCTCTCTCTCTCTCTCTCTCTCTCTCTCTCTCTCCTCTCTCTCTCTCTCTCTCTCTCTCTCTCTCTCTCTCTCTCTCTCTCTCTCTCTCTCCTCTCTCTCTCTCTCTCTCTCTCTCTCTCTCTCTCTCTCTCTCTCTCTCTCTCTCTCTCTCTCTCTCTCTCTCTCTCTCTCTCTCTCTCTCTCTCTCTCTCTCATAACATCATAGATTTCGGTCTAGACCTGCTCTTTTATGAAAAGCGCTGTGAGATAACTGTTGTTGTGATTTGGCGCTATATAAATAAAATTGAATTGAATTCTGACCAAGTTCTGACTCGGAGAAGGGCTGTGAAGTACTGCTGTAATTGCTCGACTGTCAGTAAAACCCAAAGATATTTAATTCCCTGACACTGGAGACAAAGAAAAGAAGCAAATCTTCAAATCTGAGATGAAATGAATGATTGAATTTGGGGGATTTTTCCTCTAAGAAAACCAACTGATTGCATGTCTCAGAATGGTTTGTGGTTTATCAGTCCACTGATCAATTTATTAACTAATGGTTTCAGCTCTACTCTGTTAAGCTGAAGGTCATTTGGCTAAAGTTGCTGCACCATTACATTTAATTAAGAGCCACCAAATGCTAACAACCCCGACCCTGATACAAATTAAAACAGTCATAAATTTAATGACCTTCTGGGTTGGCGGGCACCGGAGCGGACGGAGCCTCTGGTGGAGTGAATTTCTCTCTCCAACCTTTAATCTGAGTCACGTCTGTTGTTTTTCCGGTTCTGGACACGAACGCTGCAGAAACACCTGCAGAAAAGAAAAGACACGTCTGTGTGTTACCAGGATCGGTGCTGTCGGCTCAGCCAACCAGAGGCAGGATCTCCAGCTGTGTGAAGGTACTGACCCTGAGGCGGTGGTAGCTCCTGGGTCAGCGGCTCCAGAGAGACACCAGGAGGAGGGATAGGAAGACGGACTCCCAGGTACTGCAGATCTATGGCCAGAGACGGATCCAGCAGGTTCATCTTCAGACCGACTGAGTTCACAGAGAAATAACAGACAGAAACTCACTTAAAACACTGCCCCCCCCCAGGCAGGAACCTGCAGCCAGCAGGGGGCGACTCCACCGGCTGCAGAAAGAAGTCTCTGAGAAAATGTTTTTCTACTTGTGAGCTGATTTATTCCCTCAGTAAACACTTTCCTGATGAGTTTATAGTCTCAGTCGCTAGTTTCAAGTCTTCTTCAGCACAGCATGATGTTCATTTAGTAAATTATGGTCCCATTTAGAGGAACAGAGACCAGGAAGCAGGGGAGGCTTTAGGGCGGGGCTACAAGCTGACTGGCGACCTGTCATTCAGGATAGAGGCGGCTCGTATCCGCTGCTCTGTGTACGTTTAACCAGCACCGCTGAAAAAGCTTTTCGTGCTGGACACTCATGCAAGTGGGAATTTAAAATTTGCGTTGTGTGTGAAACCGGCATCAACAGGGCAACGTACCAAGAATGAATCTTCACATATTGTCGTGACTACAGTGAGAGCTGACGCACCTTCCTGCAGCACAGGGTGGATCACCTGTCGGTGTCTCATCAGCTTCAGGTCTGTCAGGAGAACCTTCTCAAAGGCAGCGATCTTCTCCTCCAAACACTCCGCTGTCTCTGCTGAACAGTTTCATGATATCCACTTTTGATTAAACAAACAGTCTCACAGTTTGGGAAATTGTTGTTTGTTGTAACCAAGACGGCTGTGAGCTCGTTGTAATGCCCAGCCTTTATGCTAAGCTAGGCTAAACACACCCTGGTCCTCAGAGGTTAACTGACATCCATCTTCTATTCAACAATTTAACATTTGACCAGTAAACGGTGAACACTGTGTGGCTGTAGAAACATGCGTCTGTGTGTCTGTTACCGCTCTCAGGTGCGTCCGCAGATTGTTGCAGGTTCTGACCCTCAGGTGTCGTCTCAGGCTGCGACGCCGTTCCTTCAGACGAGTCCACAGTGTGAAGTTTGAGCGCCTCCTGAAACATGAGTTTTTAATTTTCTGTACATTTATTCTCAACAAGTTCATTGGTTTAAAGTTCTGAGAGCATTACCTAGAGGCTCAAACAGGAAGAACATGCTTATAATGTAGGCTGGGTGTTACCAACGTTTATCCTAGGGCCCTCACTGGACGATGCAAAATGATCTAGTTAGTGTCAGAGGATTCTCATTTCATTACAGTTTAATTAATCAGCTTAACAGCTGACCAACGTCATAGCAAATCACAGGTGGGACCAATAAAATTAATGACCGCTCTGTTACAGAAATTAATGTAATTACTTACACCTGTTTGAACATTAAAAATGTCTCCTGTGAAGTCGACTCAACTCATCTTCTATCAGTAGTGTCAAAGAGTACTAGCCAATCACAGCATAGTTGGGCGGGAATTGTCGAAACTCTGGCAGGCCCAATGATAATGCCCCTGAAACCCTCAAGGTTAAGGGGGGTCAGCTCTTCTGCAAGCTATATGCATCCATAACCCCTTTTCCACCGCACGGTACCAGCTCGCCTCCGTTTGGTTTTCCACTGTGGAAAAGTTGCACCTGTACCTGCTTCCAGGTACTTACCACCTCCGTCGAGGTTCCAAGCGAGCTGAGGCGAAACTAAAATGTGATGTGAAAACACGACAGACTGCTGATTGGTCAGAGAGAATATTCACTATTCACTGCGTCATCATTGCGTGCACCAGAAAGAGGCCAGCAACAGAAAGTTTTATATTTTACAGTTTTCACACGTTATTTCATCACTAAATCCACTTCTGAGAAGTTTTGAGGTGAGAAATCAGCTGTGTAGATTTTAAATATTGACAGTTTTACGAGAAGTGATTGTGTTGAATATTTTCGGAGTTGAGGAGCTCCGCGAGTGGCTGCGGGGTGAAGCCTGCTGTGACCCGCGGGAGGAGCGTGTGAGGCCGGCCAGCCGCCCGCTCACAGAGCCCTCTGCTCCCGCCGCCACACAGACCGCTGCAGCAACAACGCCAGAGGAAAACACAGCTGGAAGGTTTTCATACCGCTTATCTGTCTTTACATTCTGAGGAAGGTTGGAACGTTTTAACTTAAAAAAGAGAAAGCTGTGTGGGTCGCTGGTGTGTGTGTCGCATTGAACATTACGTCACAGCAGTTGTGTGTGGCGTCACTATGACGACCAGCTACATTGAGGGGTGCTATCTCTGGGTGCTATCTGCAAGGCCAGGCGAGCTGGTAATGGAAAAACGGCAAAAATCTGTATACTGTCACAGGCTGTCGTTCGTCCTGTTGATGCTCAAACGCAAAAAAAAAGAGAAGAAGAGAGTGAGAGAAGGAAGGAAACTCAAAGGCAAGAACGTCTGTTTGTTGAGATGGACGGTAACTGCTAACCCTCATCCCTGATGGATTTTGATTTAGTTTCACTTTGCGTCTATTTGTAACCTAAATTAACTCCAACCAACGTTGAGCTCCATGTGATGTCAGACCAGAGGACACGGGAGCAGCTTGGTGTGTGTTTATATGTGAGTGATGAGCTAATATCAGTAGATAACTTCGGCCTGGCAGATTCATTGATCAGAGCCAATCAGGAAGCCAAACGTGAGCGTCTGCGTCATCGTTTCCACCTGTCAGCACCAACATCGTTTGACGGGACTCGTTCGACAGGCATAGAACGCATCAAACGCGCTTCCCACTGATGTCAGAGTTCACATGCTTCAAAACAGCCAACAATATTTGTTCTCCGGTGGTTGACTTCATATTCAACTCTATATCAAAGTTACTGTAATTGCAGAAAATGCAGCCGTCCTGGGAATTTTATCACAGAAAAGTCATTGCACCACACAAAACCAGATCTAGGTCTATTTAGTTTTACCTTTGATGTGAACGAGATAAATAATTGCTCCTCCACTTCCTCCAGGTTAGGCTGCATGCTAGTGTAGTTGGAGTCGTCCGTCTTCTGATTCAGTCCCGTCTTAGCAAGCTTTCGCTGCCGGGACTTCTTCTTGCGCCTGGAGGATTTGTTGGCTTGGGTTGGTGTCACCTGCTGAAAAGGGTCCTGCGCATTTGCTTCTACAGCACTTGGAGGTGGGCAGGGAACTGCCATTGTCTCTGCGTTGGAAAACTCCACCCCCATCGCAAGGTCATCATCGGTGGAGAAAAAATGTACAAGGTCTGCGAGAGACGGTGTGGGTGACAATCCCTCTCCGTCTAATGAAGAGAAGGTTGGAGACAGCGGCAACTGAAGTGCGAGGGGGGACAGTTCTGCAGGGAAGGGCAGCAACTGTTCGTTTTCTTGAAATGACGGAGCAGCATCCGCTGGAGGCCTGGATGTGTCAAGAGTCTGTTGTTCAGGGTGGGAGGGAGTCTGAGAAGGCAATGAAGGTGACATAACAGACGCTAAAGGATGAGCGTCGGGAGAGTGCTGAAATGGTGTAAATGAAGTCTCCATGTATGGCTCAGGCGGAGGTAACACTGTATGCCATTTAAACACACATGGGGTAACGTCTTTGCCAAGCGGTAGCTCTTCCGGTACTGCTTTTAGAGTTGGCTCAGAAGTAGTGGAGTTGAGTTCTAAAGCTAACGCGGTGGGCAGGGAAGGTAAAGGTTCTGGAGAGCTTGCTGGGGACAAAGTCTCGAAGCCAAAAGAAGAACACTCAGGGTCAGGAAGCAAAGAATCAGACTTCATGGTGGGGTCATCTGAAGGTAGTGAGGAAGACTCAGTGATGGTTGAGGTTTGTGGCGAGTTTGGGGCAGGTATCGCTGTGTCATAGGGTGGTGACAAAACGGGAGATGCAGAAGAGGTAGTAAGAGTTGACGAACTGGTATATACAGATGTTCCAAGGGTACAAAATGTCTGATCAGAGTTGGATAATACTGGCGTAACATCTGGTACTGCTGGCTCTGAGCCTGGGCTTTCAGCAAATGAAATGGAGGCAAAGAAATCATCAGTTCTGTGTCCCTTTGGATCAGCAGTGGCAATAGCATCTGGATACGATGGACTGGAAGGCTGCTGGGCAGTTCCAGCTGGCTGTCCCGTAACACTAAAAACCATTTCATCCGCATGAAGAGGAGTACATCCCGAGGCCTGGTTGTTGCATTTGGTGCCATCACCAATCAGGTCCTTCAAGGGACCGGTCGCATTGCCGCCGTGATCAGAAGGCGGGCATGCAGAAGCTGCAGTAGAACTCAGTAGAGCAGTAGATTCAGATGGGAGTGCTGGAGAGGGATTGTCCGGGTCGCTCTTGACCTTTTTAGATTTCGTCGAATGTTGCTTCAAAAAAAGAGCGAGAGCTGGCAGAGGCAGACGGACTGGCTGTTTGTGCTGCTTTACTTTCTCCTTTGATGGGGTTTCGGGCTTACGTTGGGGGTCTACGGAGTCCACAGAGGAGTTCTGGGACAGTGCAGCAACATTACTGACCTCAGAACAATCTGTTCTAACATTGTTTTTACAGTTCAATGAATTCAAAGGGTCCTTGTCGTCCTTCCCTTTCCTTTTTGTTACAGATTCACCTTTCTTTGCAGGTGATTTTTCTCCATGTGTTTTGACTGACAAACTGTCCCTCTTGGGAACATCTTGTACGTTGTTTGTCAGAGTTGTGGTGTTAGTTTGCTCAGTTCTGTGAGAGGTGCTGCCGTTGTTGATGGCCAGCTGCTCCAGGTTGCATCTTTGCAGTGAAACGTGAGCCTCCCGAATAAGTTCAGAAAATAACTTCTGAGCTGGACGTGAATTGTTGCTGAAGGAAATCAAACAATAAAAACACCACATTAGTGACATCAGCACGTCGTGATACTGCAGTACAAAACTATGACATACGGTCTGGTTATTAAAACAAAAATAACATTAACTAGTCACAGCCAAGCTTCACGCATTGGGTTAATTCTTGGTGTCAAAACACAGCAACTCCCCTCCGTTCACACATAAGGACTTTAACACTCGAGGAGAGACAGGCTGCCATTCATTTCAAACAGAAGCTCCAAAAACATTTTGACACCTTCCCTCGCAATTCAAGACCCTGCTGCGCAACCTGAAGAAGTTGGTTAGGGTTCAACTTTATTGCAAATATCATCTGACGTACCAGAGCCACAAACCCACAGACAACCAACAGTGTTTGAGGCTGTTTGTGTGAACATGGGGTTAGTAAGGAAAGGCAAAGATTCCCTTCATGGTGCAAAGTTGTTTCTTATGGATAACTGGCGACATACAGTTTCACTGAGATATATGTAGTATCATTTGGTGAAGAGTAAAGGAAGCACAAGATGCAGTAGCTAACAAAATACCAGGTTATAATAGCCATGAAAGTAGACTACAATGTATTCCGAAACATGCCAATTTACAAGTTGGTCTTTCTTGTACTGTAGAACTCTTACCGCGAACATTCCCCGGTGACCTTGGCAGCTGACTGATCTTTGTTTGTAGTGGAATTTTCTGGAGATCACCCGACACAGAAGGCTTTGAGTCTGCTGTTTTTGAGCTTCTAGGTTTATGGTTTGCAAGCAAAGACTTCAAGCTCTTCTTCACAGGGTTCTGCTCGTTGCTTGTCGTGTCACCGCCTTTATGCGAGTCTTTGCAAGAGTTCAATTTCAGCTTTGGGCCCAACAAACTGGAGCCGTCCTCCTTCAGTCCTTTAGCAAACGGGTTGTAGTCGACTTTAAGCTGAGAAAACCGTGAGTTCTGGTAAGCAGTGACTGCCATAAACTCAGTCTGGGGGAACGTGAATGTGACAACATTGGGACCAGTTAGTTTTAAGTCTTTAGCAGCTTTGTCAGTTTGGACCACGTGCAGTCGTGGCAAGTAGCGGTGCATCGGATGCAGGATGGCGTTCCCCTCTTGGTCTGAGATGTTGTTTGTGAGCTTCAGTTTGTAAAAGGACACTGGACTCTGCATCCAGTGTTGACCCGTTGACGGGGAATCTGGATGAGCGAATGGCTGACTCTTTAAATGACACTCTGCCTTTCCAGCAACTTCCCAGCTCTTGCCGGTCCATTTGTATCGACTGTTGTCCAATGGTCGAATGTCCATGATCAACAAGTACTTCCGAGATGCATGCAAGCCAGAGATGCGAAAGCGGCAGTAGGGGAACATTCTGCTGCCTTGTTTAGTCAGAATCATCTCCGTTTTGCATCTGAAAAACTCGTTCCACATGCTGTTGTTGTCCAGCGTCACTCGGATGCCTTTGCAGATGCTGTCTGGTGAGAGATTGTCTGGCTGAGAGTTTGAACTGGCAGGATGTTTCGCAGAAAGGAGTCCAACAGAAGTCCTGATGGCTTCCTTTGATGGGTACATAATTGGTTTACCCATCATATCTGCCTCTTCACTGCTTCCACCGGTGCTTTGCTCCATCCCACCGTCACTCGCCTTCCCTAGTTTTGGAACAACAAAGCATGCAGAGGGATGGTCCCCTGCAGGTGCTGCTGCAGGGGTGGTTGCCCCTTCTTGATGGAGAACCATTCCTTTCTGCTTCTTCTTAGAAGCCATGAACAGGTCCCAGACATCTAAAGGGGAGGAGGGTCCTGCTTTTTATACATCTGTACCATGGTTCAAGACAGCATCCTGAAAAACAAAATGATAAACTTTCATTAACTATTTGATATGATGCAAATCATCAAAGAAAAAACGGAACACTTAAGGGATATTTGTGAGTTTGCTGTTGTGTGTTAAGAGTTACGGTGTACCAAGAGACCACGCACACGAAGCCACTGAAGCTACAAACGTAACTGATGTGCGCCACCTCTAAAATGTCTTGTCTGGACAACTAAAGAGATACCACATGAAGACAACGAGCACTCTGATTGGTCAACCATTGTTTTGTACAACGCCAGTAGAGATTGTTGCTGATTTTGACACATCTAGCAAAACCATGAACGAATGGAAACATGATTACTTTGGCTACTGATTGTAATCTTCTACTCAGTAATTAATTAATAGAACTCAGTAAGTACAGCCGTTAGCACTGCTGTAATCTCTTCTGTCAAGTACAAATCTCGCTTAAATCGCTGCAATCAGGAGCTAAACCTGTGACTGTTTAGAAAGAGACGCCATTTAAAGAATCCTGAACAGAATTCTATGGGGAAAGCCCGTAACGCCAATGAAGGCGGTTGTATGCACACATCCCTCCCCTCCCGTAAGAAAGCCAATCGTCTGCTTTTAACAGCTGAGTCAAGAAAAATATCAAGCCAATCGTGTGGTTCCACTGATGTCAGAGCACAGCTGAGGTTTGCGACAGTTTCAAATGTTGTGGTGGCGACGAGGAGCAGGTGTGTGACAGATCAGATGCTCTACATGTCCGCCAAAATACTGTGTGAAAAGGTGTCAAATGTGATCTGCAGTACTCGCAGAGTGTGTTAGAAAATTCTACGGTGCCTTCTAAAAACATATACGCTTACTGCTGACTGCTGACCAGTCAAAGTGCAGTTCCGCATGACGAAAAAACTGTCATCGGGGGGGTTCACACAGGCTCTGTGCGGATATCTGCGTGCCTCCCATTTTTTCCAACCGACTATGCTATCAGAGCACCAACCGATCTACTGCGCATGTGTGGAACGAGTCCACCAAGCTGACTCCAGACAGTAGTAAACAGAAGTAGTCCGCTCCAGAGTATAGGCTATTCGAGCCTTTAGTCCACCAATAGCCTAACGCCCCGGAGGGGTTACCAAGATGGCTGCCAAGTTGCGGGAGGTGCCTATAAGGAATTTGACTAAACAAGCATAAGCTGCGTTTTCACCGCAGGAACTTCCCCCTGGAACCAGGAACCTTTGGATGAACTCACCGCATTCCGTTAAGTTCCGGGCACTTTTACCCCCAAAGTCCCTGTTTGGGGGGTAGTGCATACCAAAAGAACTGGAACTTGGGAGGGTGGGGCTTGCCTTGCAGTGTATTTCTGAATGGTCTAGGTGAGGCTACTCGCTTTACATGAGCATTTCAGCTGTTTTGAATCCGCTTTAGCCCCTTTTCCACCGCACGGTACCAGCTCGCCTCGCCTCGCCTCTGGTTTTCCACTGCGGAAAAGTTTTTTTTCGTATCACCTCTGTCGAGGTTACAGTCGAGCTGAGGCGATACTAAAACAAAACACGACATACCGCTGATTGGTCAGAGAGAATCGTCACTATTCACTGTATCATCACTGCGCGCCAGACAGAGGCCAGCAGCAGGAAGTTTTATATTTTACAGTTTTCACACGTTATTTCATCACTAAATCCACTTCTGAGAAGTTTTGAGGTGAAATCAGCTGTGTAGATATTATAATATTGACAGTTTTATGAGAAGTGATGGCGGAACAAAAGTGTGCTTGAGAGTTTTTGGAGTTGAGGAGCTCCGCGAGTGGCTGTGGGGGAAGCCTGCTGTGACCCGCGGGAGGAGCGTGTGAGGCCGGCCAGCCGCCCGCTCACAGAGCCCTCTGCTCCCGCCGTCACACAGACCGCTGCAGCAACAACGGCAGAGGAAAACCAATGACCTTTTAATGTCTGCTGATGAAGGCATGTGCTCAGTCCTGGTACTCCTGGACCTTAGCGCTGCTTTTGACACCATTGATCACAACATCATGTTAGACAGACTGAGGCACTGGGTGGGGATCTCTGGTACTGCCCTAGAATGGTTTTCATCCTACCTGTCAAATAGGAAGTTTTGCGTGTCTGTAAACAACTATGTCTCTTCGTTCTGTCCAGTTAAATATGGTGTGCCTCAGGGGTCGGTCTTAGGACCCATTTTGTTTTCCTTGTATCTGCTTCCCCTTGGACATATTATCCATAAACATGGCATTTCTTTTCATATTTATGCTGATGACACACAAATATACTTGCCCGTCAGATCCACAGACCCTGGAATGCTGAGTTCACTTAACAACTGCCTTTGTGAAGTTAAAAAATGGATGTCAAATAATTTCCTCCAGCTGAACTCAGACAAAACAGAAATCCTGGTCATCGGGTCCCAGCAGATGGCAAATCAAATACTGCCATCTGCTGGTTCCCTAGTAAATCACATTAAGCCTGTGGCAAAGAACCTTGGTGTTTGGTTTGATAGTAATTTAAATTTCGAGCAGCACACCACAAAGCTTGTTCAATCATGTTTTTATCAACTTAGAAATATAGCTAAAATTCGATCTATGTTAACTTTTAAGGACACCGAGACCATTTTACACGCCTTCATCTCATCACGCCTTGATTATTGCAACAGCCTTTTCACCTGTTTAACCAAAAAATCTATTGATCGACTCCAGACTGTCCAGAACTCAGCTGCCAGGCTTTTAACCAGAACAAAGAAATATGACCACATTACTCCTATTTTAGCTTCACTACACTGGCTCCCAGTGTGTTTTAGAATTGACTTTAAAATTCTATTGATCACTTTTAAAGCTCTTCACGGCCTCTCGCCTTGTTATATTTCTGACCTTTTAGTCCCATACGCACCAGCATGTACCTTGAGATCCTCGGGCAGAGGACTGTTGTCTGTTCCAGAGTCTCGACTGAAAACTAAAGGGGACAGAGCGTTTGCTGTCAGGGCCCCGAGGCTCTGGAACAGCCTGCCCGAGGAAATCAGGTCGGCTGAGTCAGTGAACTCTTTTAAGTCCCTTCTTAAAACATACTTTTATAGGAGAGCTTTTCCCGATCTTATTTGACTTTATTTTATCCCTTTTATTTTATTGTATTTTACTAATTTTATATAAAATTTTCATGCTCTTATTTTTTTTTATTTATTTATTTTTTTTATTATTCTTTACACTTGTTAAAGCACTTTGTAACTTGTTTTTGAAAAGTGCTCTACAAATAAGGATTATTATTATTATTATTATTATTATAATAAAACACAGCTGGAACCTTTTCATACCGCTTATCTGTCAAACTCTTTAACTTAAACCCAGAGACAGCTGTGTGGGTCGCATTGAACATTTCGTTTCAGCAGTTGTGTGCGGTGTCGCTATGACGACCAGCTACACTGAGGGGCACGGTGGGCCGAGACGGGGCGAGCTGGTACAGGTAATAGAAAAACGGCATTTGTAGCTACTGCTCATCTCTCTTCCACCGTTGACTAAATGAAATTTGCAAATCAAATAAATCACGATCGACACCCAGATAGCACCCACAAGTCTCGCTGATGTCGGATCGAGATCGTACATCTGTATTATAGTTTATAACTTGTAAACAGCAGCCAGTGTGCAGCTAGTCCTGCGGTGTGTTTGCAGCTAACAGCTGATAGAGTCCAGCTAAATTCTGGGTCCAGAGTTGTTGTTTTAAGCTTTCATCATTCAGGAGTTTTCTACAAGGAGCCGATGTACGTCCCCCCCTCCTCTCCTAAACAAACAGACCAGCTGATTACAACAGGTCATAAAGCACGTTAAAAATCACATTACTCCGACACTCAGGCGGAAACAGGAAGCGAGAGCTGCGAGCTGCTGATCCTGGGACTAAACGTCCTGGGTACCTTTGGTCGAAAGACGGCTTATAGCTGCTGAAATAATCCAATACGCCACTCCAAAGCTCACACTCTCACTGAACCCTGGACCAGGCTGAATCCAGTTTAAGAATATGAACCTGTGTCTCTCCACCTCTCACTGACTCCCCCCGTTTAAAAATAAGCCGGCTATCCAGCCTCTTACAACCCACACCTTGCCCTTCGCTAAATGTAAAGCTGCTGATGTAAACAAGCGTCGTGATAAACAATTAACACCCAGCAAGCCAAATATTTTTTGCAGAATTAATGAACCAAATGAGGAAAGACGAGTGAACGCTGGACTGATAGTCTATTGGTTAATACAAAGCAGACTTCAGAACCCCTCCCAGACATGGACTCTGTAACAGTGCTAGCTTCTTCTTTCTAATAAAATAGTTTTTGGGATTCACACACGTCTCTGCTACATAAATACTCCCTGAGTTGCTTTATTAAAACCTGACAGGACTGTTCCAGCTGCATGCCGCCACCTGGCAGCAAACTATGGTGAGATGGGAAATATCAGAATCAGAATGAAGTGATGGATTTATTAAAATTTTGCTTCTTGTGGCTTACTTTAATGATCACCGTGAGCCACAGCAACGCTTCTCAACATCAAACCAACTCTGTTGATCCACCGATTCAGTTTCTGATCCAATCTGCTGCTTGTTTCACAGCCTTCAGTCTGACGGACAGCAAGCAGAGCGCATGACTGACTGACTACATGATTGATTGAGACTGATCACATGAGAGCAGAATCGTTAAAATTTGCTCATTCACAAAGTTTTCTGTCTTTAAAAAAATTATCATTCACTCACTGTCATAATTATTACAGCGCTCTGAAGAAGAACAATCAGTATCTCTGTGGATTTCACTGTGCGCTGCCTTAGGCCCGATCAGACAGAAAGCGTTCTGGGCCTTTTTGGTTGAATTTGGAAAAGAGCAGTGCGCTGCGTTTTTTTATGTTGCTAGGCAACCACCGAATCAGCTGTCCTGTCAGACTAATCAAAGATTTTAGCGCCAGCGATCTGTAATCTTTGTCATATTAGCAGAAACTTCATCACAGCTCACAGGTCTGGGTCTGTTGTTGCTTTAAAAACAAACGCAGGGCGGCTGCTCTGCCGCTGTCTGAGGGTGAGAGGTGAAGCAGGAGACCCTCAGAAAGAGGAGACGCCGCTGGTAGCACCGCCAGCTGGTAGCACCGCCAGCTGGTCCAGGAGCTTCGTTTTTATGATGGTTGGTTCAAAGCTTATTCTAGGATGACAAGGGGACAGTTTGTCTCCGGACAATCCAAGCAACTGGAAACTTTCGCCACCACAACTGAGGGCCCGCCTCTCTATTCATCTGATTGGACAGTTGAAAAAACGCAAATGACGTCGGGCGCTTTTCTGCTCAGAGTTGAATTTTTTTTATTTTGTGCGCTCAGAGTGCTTCTTTGAAAACACGAGGCAGGCGCCCAGGGCGCACAAACAGCGCGCAGGACGCTCACTGCCAATAGGAAACGATTTAAAAGACACCTCTCACTGGAAAATACACGTTCTGTCTGATCGGGGGACTTAGCCTTTACAGTATGTTCAATTTCGACTTCTTCCGCATTGAATTAATAAAGAAATGTCGCAGACACGACCTTTTCGGGTTTGCAGCCTTGAAGAAAATGTGATGTGGTTGTTCCAAACATGTAATGTTGCAAACATTTACGTAACAACATGTTCAAAGCTTCAATATGTAGCAACTATTTGCTAAGATGTTAGCCATTACGATGAGGTGATGGTGTTGCTGGGAGTCTGATTCAGTTTGTCCACTAGGGGCCACATTTATTCAAAGCAGCTTTAAATGTGTTTTTAAGTGTAAAGTCAGACTGTGGCCTTTCAAATATATTGTAAACTCCATTCTTTTCAGGGCAGAAAACAAAACCTTTAGCTGGTTAACTTCAGAATCGCTACCCGCCTGCAGTTCAACGCTCATCAGGTCTGTGCCATTTTTAAAATGTGTGTTGATAATTATATAGCTGCTTAGATCGGCTGGCCAGCATGTGTTAAAGACAAAGCATCATGCAACAGTGTGTAAATTCCCAAATGTGACAACCTGATTATCGCCACACAACATACCAAACCGTTCCCCACACGTCCAGCAGTCTGTTAAGTGTTTTAGTCAATGACCAAAATCCGTTCACGTGCTGTACATGTTGAATTTACAACTAATTTGTCCATAGGACTGTATTTAAAAAAGCTATTGTCCCTCCATGATGCATGCTTGAACTGATCTGCATGTTGGTATTTACCAGCAGCAACAACTGTAAACTTAAGCAAATAGATAATTAATAAAGTATGCTAGGTTCAGGAAACTTTACCTCGCAGCAAACAAGAAGTATTTCAGATTAGCTTCACAGAGACATGTTTAACTGTGGATGCATGAGACTAAAGGTGGCCTTTAAAGAGACTGCAGCTAGCTAGCAGCAGCAGGCCTGATGCTGAGCCCGGTAATGGCTTCCCAGTAAACACTAAACCCTCTCGGTCGGTCCGTCCTGGCCCACTGCGACCATGTGCTCCCATAACAGCACACGGATTACCTTCTGCGTGGTGGAACAGATCGAGTGTTTCGACGGTGTGACATGAATCCGAGCGCTACCGTCTGTTATTCCGCCGTAAAACCATCTCCGGCACCGTGGTTATGTTCTTACTGAGGGGGATAACTGCATGCGGTGTCCTTGCGCTGAAACGTCAGCGCCCGTCCTCGTCTTCTCCGGTACTGCGCAGCCTCGGACGCCATCTTGCTGCCGCCACCTGGTTCAAAACTCGTCCCGGCGGCACCGGAGGTTCTGCCGCCCGGTACCTGCGGGGGAAGAGCTGCAGGACCGCGGGACCGCGTCTTCTTCCATTCTGTAGATTTACCTCCTCCTGCTGGACCGTTTATTGGAATATAAAACCCGCCTGGATGCGGTGGACAGACGCCATGACCGACAGACGTTTGTCTGCTTACCTTCAGAAGCAGAAGTGAACTCCTGTTTTAGTCAAACCGGGTCAGTTTAACGTTATCAGGGAAAAATGGACGCCGTGAGGCTTGTCAGGGGCTTCGTGATCAAAAACCACCGACAGAACAGGGGAACTATTTCCTGCGGGGACCCTGACTTACGGCCGGAAACAGAACAGTTCAACTGCTGCTCGAGGAGATTTGTTTAAAGGCCGGTGTGAAAGAACACAGCCTGAAGTTCACTGTGGCGATGAGATGGTTAACTGTGGCTGTGAAATCGCGCCTTCGCTTCTGCCTTCTTTGTTATGGGTCGTAGTTTCTGGTGGTGTTTCCCAAAATGGGTTCAGCTCAGTGTAAATGTGTGTTTAACTGTGTTATGTTTGAGATCCAGGAGACAGGATCACTCGTTCTGTCACATTACGGCGCAGCAGCGGACTCCATGTTGTTTTCACTACCCGCGGGAATCCGGGACGACAGCGTTAAATGTCCCCGTTCTTTCACTCGGTGGCTTGTCGTGTACGGTAACTGTTAACGGAGAGGGAAGTGATCCGTGCGAGTGTGGTAACGTTAACGGAAGCGGTGCGGGGAGGATCCGCAGAGATGATCCGCCGCTTCTAACAAACAAAGGGCTGCAGCCATGATGGAGCTGCAGCCATGATGGAGCTGCAGGCTGCGCGTGCATTGAACGGGACACAGCCAGCTAGTTGAAACCGGTGTTACATCCTCAGATTCACAGCAGGAAGTCACCGTCTGACGGTAGCAGCAGCCATTGTTGGCTCCTTTACCCGTTAATAAAGTCAGTTTAACCGACGTTAAAGCGCCTCAGCTGTGGTCACACTTACGACACGCGCGTGTGTTTGTGCCGCAGAGGCGCGCATGCGCGTTGTGAAAACTTAATATAAATCAGGTGTTTTGTCTCATATTTTGAGTGTATATGTGATTTGATGTGTCGGTCTTGTGATTGTTCTTATTGGTCATCTTCCACATTGAACGCGGCCCCCAATGCAGATGGAGGTAAACGCAAAATGAGCCGCAGCGACATCTACAGGGCTATTTTCGTTAGTTAGCTCCCAGGCTAAGAGCTAACCGACAAGCAGCTAGAACCGGTGTGCTGCTCGCCAGGTAACCGTCTGCTGCCACAGACCTGTATCTGAAGCGCCCCGATCAGGTCACTAAACACTGACATCGCTGTGTGACGTTTACAGAAACGTTTCAACGTCACGCATCGTTATTTATTCAAGAGGCACGTATCATTTATGTTGGCACAAGTTCCCCTGTAACATGGAGGCGGTGGGAGAGGGTTCGGCAGAGCCTCCATCTTGAGAGAAAAACGCTCCTTTTGTATGTGGACATGTCGAGTTGACCCAGTTTCTATGCGGAATCCAAGAGGAAGATACCATCTGAAGAAATAAATGACTTCAGATCTTGGCTGTAAGCAGCAGAGTTTATCCAGTTTCACTCAGAATCAGCTTTATTACCAAGTAGTTTCTACAGATAAAAGGATCTGCTTTGGTGCTTAATAGACACAAACCTACATAATAAATATAATTGACAAGTTATAAAAGAATAATACTGTGCAGTATTGCAGTTATTTACGGTCGTCCTCGTGTGAAGAAGTGGTTTTACAGTGAATTATATTGATTTGAATGATATTGATAGAGAATTTCCCCTCGGGGATCAATAAAGTATTTCTGATTTAAAGGAACAATTAGAAATTAAAGTCATAATTTAAATATGGTGCTATGAATAAATTAAGTACAATTACTCAAGTACTGTAAGGATATAGTACTTCTACTTAAGGAATTCCATATTATGCTGCTATCTACTTTTACTCCTACATTTAAAGGGGGAAATATTGTACTTTTTGCTGCATTATACTTCTGACGGCTTCAGCTTACTTTAACAGGCTTCCCACGCGTTTTCCAGTCATGGAAAATGAGAGGAAAATAGTTTAATTTTGTTCTTCTGAGCTTGTTTTAAACTGTTGCATGTTGTTAAAATCAGACTCTGCAGAGAGGAACACGTTAGTGTATGATGTTATCCGTGTCGTCACACCAGCCAGATCACTGAAAATGTCCTGGAAAATGATCTCTAGAAAAAAGTGGGAACCTTTTTACCTATAAAACATTTATATAATCGTGTGTACAATTACAGTACATACAATATTAATCAGCTCCACCTCAAACTATTAGTGCAGGAAGATGTTATGGACAGTAATGCATCAGTATAAACAGTCCATAGAGAAGAAATAACACAGAGGTCATTTCTGCACTTTAAGGAACATTTTGTAGGCAGTACTTATGTACATTTACTACTTTACTAAGTATAACTGAGTGCAGACATTTCACTTGTGATGCAGTATTTCCTCACCTTGAGTGCTACTTTTACTTGTAAACTAGACAAGTTATTTTAATGTAATTCTGTTTTCACTTCTTCAGGAAACTAACACACTGGTTATATTCCCCCGGTTCCTCTGTAGTATGGAGTTGTCAGTCTCTTCAGGTGTGACTGATGTATTATTTTTCAGGTGAGCCTTCAGTCAGATTCTCAGGACGGCTCATCAGCTGACTGTTCCTCCTCAGCGGTGGATTAAAAGCTGTTGGTAATAATATGAAACAATACAGAAATCAATGTGGCACAAATGACGCTTTATTTGTTTGTCCAGAGTCTCACACATCTGCTCTCTGTACAGATCTGCAGTCACACAGGTAAGGACGTGACAACAGGAAGACGTCAGCTTGGGTCTTGAATAAATTCAGGGTTTGATCTCTTTGAGGCAACATACAAAAACATCTTAAAACATACTGTCCCTTGATATCCTGACATGAAGAGTGGTGCAGACGGAAAAGTTTAACTTACGTCAGGAAATTAACCTTTAGCTACACAGTTTGACAGTCAGACACCTCCAACACAGAAACCACTTGATTTCCAGGATCAATAAAACATCCCAGAGCTTTAAAATACAGAATTACATCTTCTATAGTACATCTGACTCAAATATACAACATAAGTACACGTGTTCAGTGATACTCTAAAGGACAGTTTACACACTTCAAGTAATTAAAAACTTCAGCTTCATTTCAGTGTTAGAGGAAATGCAGAAGTGAGTTCATGTAAAACAGAAAAACGCACAACATCATCTGCAGCAGCCAGGGCCGGATTAACACGCTGCAAGGGCCCTGGGCTCATGTGCCGTGGGCCCCCAACCCCCCTCCCTGCTCTGTGCATTGTGCATGTATTACACATTATTTAGTGAAATGCACCTTATTAGCACAATATAAACTGATATAATAAAGGCATACAACTACGTTTTGACATCAGGAGGGAACATTTGTACCTGATAATGCATACGTAGAATATTCCGGCTTTAATTATCGATTATTCTGCAGTCTAGAAACATCAGAAAATATTACAAAATGCCCCGGTCCCCTCAGCCAACAGCCCAAAAACTGAAAGATGTTAAGTTTGCTACAACAGACAACTAAAAGACTGCATATATTCACATCTGAAAGGTGAGCACTACCTGAAACAACCATCTTATTGTTTGTGCTGTAAATATGAAAACAAATGCATTTCAAAATACATCAGCAGAACGGCTCATTAGGGCCTCGAACACAACGTAACGTCAGCCCGACGACAAACGGTCTTGTTATCATATCCTCGATCTTGGAACCCGTCGGCTGTCGAGACTTTGAAAGTAGACACCTTTTTTAAAAAGCTAACAGAGATTATTATTAGACGTTTCAGCCAAAGGGTTTTGCTTTTTCTCTCCACACTCACTGTTTATACCTGCACGCAACCAAAGCCCGCTCAAACGTGATTGGTCAAAACTACTGTGACCGCAAATGGAAATCAGAACGCCTCCGACACCAAAGTCTTGTCTCTGATACATCTGTTTTCATATGCAGGTGTCTGTTTATAGAGAGGATCGTATCCTGAACTGAAGAACTGCAACACAAACGCACCTTCCTGGTTCTGTTAACAAACTGATGTTAGAGTGTAAGTGATAGTGGCGGACTCCTCGCTGCTCGTAACGCTCTCCATTAGTGACAACTAACGAGGATCCGCTTATAGGAATAGCTCCAGATTCATTGTCAGATGATCGACGTGAGAGAAAAGCTGTGATCATGTACTGTTGCTGATGATACGCCGCAGAAAGTTAAAGGAAACAGAATAAAGCTGACTTAAAAAGTATTTGTTAATGAAAATATCAAACATTTCTTGAACTCCTGAAACGATCAGGCTGCTCTCAAGACTTCAGAACATCTGAAATACATGTGACAGTAAAGGTCTGTTCACCAGGCTGGTTTTCAGGTGATGCTACATGCTGGTGCAGGTGAAGCTGAAGCCGAGCACTGAAGTACCAAACTGCAGCAGAGAAATGAGCTCATTTAGCAACAGTCTCTGTTTGTACACCAGAAGGCACTGAAAATATAAAAAACACCACATATACATATCTAAATCTTTAAAGGATTCATTAAAGGATCCAGGACATCCTTGTGAAAGAGATTAAAAATCTCAATGGATTTCTTTCCTGGTAAAATAAAAAAAATTGCAACTGTAACTGTTAAAACAGCAAACAGCGTTGGATGGGCCTTCGCGCTGTGACATGTCTGGGCTTGTTGCGACCGCAGTGAAGTTGCCCGAGGTCGTTGGCGCTGCTCTGAATTATCATGCACTTTGGACACCTTACGTAGGAGTTTAACGTCACTTCGTGTACGTGTGGAACATACTGTCAAAATGTAAATTAAATGACCATTATAACACAGGGCCTAATTCCTGTTGCCAGTAGGTGGCGTTACAACTGACTGAATACTGGCATCAGGGCCCTGACATGTATAAACATGTAAAGTCTGGTGCAGATGTGAGCATGTTTCATGGCGAATTAGGAGTTCGTTAAAGTAAGTAACCTGTAAATTGCCAACAATTTAACCATTAAATCCAAAATGGCCGACTTTCTGTTGTGTTAAGGGCATCGCTCCCAATCTGGACTGGTGTCGGCCTTCCTTCAGAACAAAAGCCATAATAATAAATTCTCTTGAATATTTTTACTTGTCGTGTTTAAATGTGAAACTGGCAGCGTTGTTTTAAGGCCGCCGCTGGATTGCCAAATATAAAGATGGCCGCCACTTCCTCCCGCTGTACAAAATGGCGCCATCCTGCACTGGTGACATCAATTAAAGCCAGAGTCGAGGTATCGAGGACCCGCCCACACACCCAGCTGACCCAATCACGGCAGGGCACAGCTGTCAATCATGACATGACCCCCCCCCCCCCTTCAATAACATCAGATAATTAAAAGTAATGAATACGAGCATCAGCGTGATGAAAACGACCTCACATGGGGAAAATGTATTTAGCGTGTACTTAGAACCGGACGCCCCAGCTATTCTGTCTCCGTCATGTGGTCCAGCTCTGGTTTAGTGTCGCTGTCTTGTACAAAAGTCTTTTGTTTTGAAGGAGCAGTTTCCTGTGCAGCACAGCGTGCAACTGACTCACCTCACAACATGATAATAAGTTAAATGTGGGTTTATCTGAACACATTAGAGAATTAGAGAGGTGTTAAGAATAAAAACTGAATGAAACATGTTTAAAACTGGCCTTTATTCATTCATATGGTTAAAGAGTTTCACTTCCTGGTGAAACGCTTCTTTACCTGCACTTTATTTCAGTTCTCACTGTGGAATAATAAAACCGCAGGGGTTAACTGCGTCTCCTCGCGGCCAGCGAGTTCAAATACAAACGTTCTCTGTGTTCATTAATCTACAGATTATTTACTCTGTTAGATGTTAGAGTTTTGTCTAAAAATAATAATAAATCTCATCCTAGTTCCTCAGAGGCGCCGACTGAGCTGGCAGATTACAGGGACACAAACCTTTCACAGGTTAATCAGTTATTTTAAATGGTTTGCAGATTTTCTCAGGGTGTCCAAATACTTCTGGCCACATAACGTCCCTCCATGGTGGAAAGAGAGAAACACGTCTGAGTCTGTGCTAAGCTAGGCTAACAGTTTCCCTCCGCTTCCAGTGTCTGTGCTAAGCTAGGCTAACAGTTTCCCTCCGCTTCCAGTGTCTGTGCTAAGCTAGGCTAACAGTTTCCCTCCGCTTCCAGTGTCTGTGCTAAGCTAGGCTAACAGTTTCCCTCCGCTTCCAGTGTCTGTGCTAAGCTAGGCTAACAGTTTCCCTCCGCTTCCAGTGTCTGTGCTAAGCTAGGCTAACAGTTTCCCTCCGCTTCCAGTGTCTGTGCTAAGCTAGGCTAACAGTCACGGTGATCTGTATCTGACACAGAGAGAAATATTCTCTCAGGAAAAACGTTTCCAACATGCTGCAGTTTCCTTTCAGAGAAACTTGGTACCTGGTGAAACTCCATCAGCACTGGGAGGACTGGGGGAACTGGGGCCGTGTTGCATAGGTCCTGGATCAGGTGTGTAGGTGTGTTCAGTGTCTGTACCTTCAGAGACACTCAGAGTTCAGTCTCCACCCGCCTGCTGCTGCTCAGTGCCTTAAAGTGAGCGTCCCTCTCTGATCAGCTCAGGTATTGGAGGAGGAGCGCTGTGATTGGTCAGACATTAATGACGACATCGTCCTCCTCGTCTCTGACCTCCTCCTGTAGAGTGTCCGTCGACTCCCCCCTCCTCCTCCCTCCTCCCCCCCCCACTTCCTCCTCCTCCTCGGGGGGTCCACAGGGGCCGATGATGTATCTGTAGTCCCCTCCGATGGCTAGCGCGGCCCCGGACCCCACCATGAGCCAGTCCCGCTCCTCGTCCTCCGCTCCGCGCTGCCAGGGGACGCTCCAGCTCGGGGCCCCGGCTGCCGGCGTCGCCTCCTCCTCAGGCCCCGGGGCCCCGATTCCGGTCGCTCCCCCTCGGCCCGGCTCCCCCTCGTCCCCCTCCAGGTTGACGTAGAGTAAAGGCTCCTTCTGCGGGGGGGCGGGGGACAGGCTGAGCCTCAGCGCCTCCAGCTGGCCGACCAGATGTTGGAAACTGGGACGACATTTCGGGACGGGACTCCAGCAGCTGTGCATGAGCTCGTAACTGAAGAGGAAGAAGAAGAGGAGCAGACAGGATGTCAAACTGGTGCGGACAGAGACACAACACAACAGCTGAAAAATATATTTTAGAAAGTTTTTTGGGGCCTTTTTTTTGTTGGAAGCGACGAGTGGAGACGAGACAAAGGTTTGAGTCCGCTTTCTTTTTATGTCCAACCAAATAGCCGGACTCCCGCCAGCCTGTCCGAGCTGAAGAAGCCTCGGACGAGCTAAACATCTTCAGTATCTTCAGAACGACTGAGAACCTCCACAGACGTCTTCTGACGTTATCCTTTACTTTTTTTTAGAATATCAGAATAAGAACTTTTTTAATTTGAGAATAAAAAGACGTTGAAAGAAACATTACGACATTATTAGAATACAGGGAAGGTGGGAAGGTGTCAGATGACCTGGAGTTACAGGTTTCACCTACAAACTTCTGATTCCCACTGTTTAGGATGCTGAAGTGAAATCAGCTGTTCTGAAGCAGAAATCACGACCTCGTCCTCCAACACAGCGGCTGTATGTAACTCTGCATCCTTCACTGGCAGAACCTCGACCCTCTCAGGGTTTTTCCTGGCTCACAACCCGGAGGAGTAGAGCTGTACGTTAGAAAGTATCATGTTAGATGAGCTGCCTCCAGATAGTTCATCAGTTGAGATTCAGCTGTTTCACTAATAAAACCATTTTCTGATTATCATTACCATGGACCGCAACATTGCTCTAAAAGTTTCTCAGCTTTACTGATTTCATATAAAAGCACAGGCTACTGTAGCTTAGCA